AAAGGAGAGGAATAGAGAGTTAGAAACATCGGTGAGAGAGAAACATCGATCAGCTGTCTCCTGCACACTCCTTACTGGGTATGTGCCCGCAACCTTTGTCCTTGACCAGAATCAAACCTGGGACCCTTGAGTCCATAGGCTTATGCTCTATGCACTGATCCAAACCGGTTAGGACTCTTTTTATGGTTTTAATTAGAATCTTTCAACCTCAGAAAACTGCTGTGGGGGACTGTGTGCACTGTAGAATAGCAGCGTCCCGGCCTCTTCCCACTAGATGCTGATAGCAGCCTCCCCAATCCTAACGACTAAAAATGTCTTTAGACATTGCCAAATGTTCCTTGGGGACATAACGCCTCCGGTTGAGAACCACTGTTTTAATGTCTGTGGAATCGGTAGTGAGCTTTCATTCCAGATACTGGTACGTCATCTGTTTATTTTTAAATTAGTTTTGTTAAGAGCTTTGTAGAGTAAACAAAAGCAGGCTATGCCCCATATGTGGCCCATGGATCATCTTGCTAACTTTGACTAAGATCATTGATTATTCTTTAAAAAAAAAAAATCTTTATTGATTTCAGAGAGGAAGGAAAAGGCATAGAGAGATAGAAACATCAATGATGAGAGAGAATCACTGATTGTCTGCCTCCTGGGGATTGAGCCCACAACCCAGGCATGTGCCCTGACAAAGAACTGAACCATGATCTCCAGGTTCTTGGGTCTATGCTCAACCACTGATAGACACCAGCCTGGCAACTCTTCTTTTCTAACAAAGGAATGAAAAAGCTATAAATTCTCCTCTAAGAATACTCTATCTGTATCCCATAAATTTTGAAATGCTGTGTGTTAATGGATATTAACCAAAGAATGGCTATAAAGAGTATTGTTTGTTTATCTACGGAGATAACAAGTGAGCATTTTTTTCTTAACCAACAGAATTTCTTACAAATGGATTTTTGGTTCTGTGAGAGGCAAGCAATGAAGAACAATATTAATAAAACTATGTAACAAAATTTAGTCACATAAATACACTCTCCCAACTAGTTGATAAGTTGATATACATTCCTACATGCTGGCAGCAGTATTCTTTTTGCTCTTCTAGCTAAGGAAAGCCACAATCTATAACCTGCAGAACATTTACCAGGACACAAAAAAATTACAAGTTCACTGCACCTTATGGAGTATTGGTTTGCTGCCACCTGCTGGGAGGCAGAAATGGGTTTCTAGCCTCCTTAAAGGGCAGGAATGATGACCTTGGAAGTTGTAAAACTTTGCCCATCCCATGAAACAAAACATAATATAGGTACCTTTGGGCCTGGAAGAAATCAATATTAAATATGTGTTAATTGATTGTTTGTGTTACCAGTGAGGCTTCTGGTCAACAGTGGACTATTAGCAGTTGGGTTTTGGGGGAGTCAAAAGTTACTCTGGGGTTTTTTGACTATGCAGGGGCCTTGTTCAAGAGTCAACAGTATTGTTCACACAGAACCACAATTAAAATAGCACCATATTTTCTCTCTACATACACTTTTTTTTTTTACTACCTGAAAGCTGTCTGCAAGTATCATGACTTCACCCCTGAACACTTGAGCATACATTTCCTAAGAACAAAAGCATTCTTCTAATATAACCACAATATCATCATTATATCTGAGAAATGTAAGTCATCGATATATCTATTATGCTTTTATGTTCAAATTTTCCCAATTGTCCACAGATTGTCCTGCAGAATTCATAATCCTATACAGCTCACAGTTGCCTTAATGGAGATGAGTCCTATCTTTTTTTGTTGTCTTCCATGATATTGACATTATTGAAAAGTCCAAACAAATCACATTCTAAGTTTATCTGAGTGCCCTGGCCTCATTTGGTTGGGTGTGGTCCCGCACACCCAAACGGTTGCTGGTTTAATTGCCGATCAAGGCAAATGACCAGGTTGTGGTCTTGATCTCCAGTGGGGGATATGCAAGCTGATAAATATTTTGCTCCACACTTTTTTTTCCTCTTTCCTTTACTCTCTTTCTAAACTCAATTTTAAAAAATTATCTGAGTGTTTCCTTACAGATTCAGACTAAACGTTTTTGGCAAGAATGCTACATAGGTGTACTTCCAATAAACTCACAGCAACAGGTTTGTGTTTTCCCCATTTTTGGGGAAAAATTTCCCATGAAACACTTAATAACATTTTTCAAAGGACTACTGTTCTGTGGAACATAGTTAAGGGAACACCTGTACAAGAAAAAAAAGGTAAATGCACTGAAGTGTTTAAGAGTTTGTAGACTAAAAAGCAAGTAATGATTAATCAAACCGAGCTTCCACAAAACTTACACACACACACACACACACACACACACACACGCACAAACCAACAACAATCCAATTGTACAGATAAGCAATCCCAACTTAGGGAAATTAACTTTTCCCAAATTCTATCCTTTTTATATTTTCTGTGTGCAGGAGCTGAGATTTGGAAGCATGTCTGATTGCTTCCATGTTCTTGCCATTAGGCTCTCTGCTTCATTTGGACTTAATTTTTTTATAATTGACTATTTTTAAATGTTTTTATTGATTTTCAAAGAGAGGGAGAGGGAAAGATAGAAATATCAATGAGGCTGCCTCCTGCATGCCCACACTGGGGAGGGGCCCACAACTGGACTTTGGCCTGACTGGAATCCAACCAGTGACTTCTTAGTTCATGGGTCCACAATCAACCACTGAGCCAATGGACTCAGGGGCACAATGGACTGTTCTTGGTGCTACAATTACTCTGGGATAAAAGTGGTGGTCTTTTAATCTAAATAATAATGAAGACACTAAGAAATCATTTTATTGTTCTACTAGTGACCTGGTGCATGGAATTCGTGCACATTAAAAGGGGATTAAAAAGAGAGGGGGAGAGAAAGAGAAACATGATAGATATAAGAGGGAAATATCAATTGGTTGCCTCCTATATATGCCCTGATGGGATTGAAGCCGAAATCATTTTGTGTATGGGGACAACAGTCCAACTCACTGAGCTATTTGTATTTTTTAATATGTCATTTTATTGATTGGCCTATCTTTATTTGAGCATTATACACTATGACTTAATACTGACAAACCAAACCCCTCTCAATACTTTTCTCTAAAATTTTCTTTGCAATTATTTCTTTTAACTGGTCAATATGACATGAGGAAATAAACTGTTTTTTACATAAAAAAAATAAATAAGGGGATTAGAGAAAATAATTTAATTTTGCTATTTGCCCTTTCTCTATAATAGAAGTGTCAGAGATGAACGAAAATTAGTAAAATGTATATAAAAACCTTCCTCCTGTCAGAGTCTGGGGCTCACCACAGGATCCAATGTCAAGTCCCCACCCACATGCACCTCAAAATCCTGTGAGACCCAGACCCGGCTGCCCCTTTCTACCATTGGGCTAGATCCAGACCCACCGGTGTCAAGCCCTGCCGGGCAGGGGGCACAGCCTGAGGTCCCCCAGTCCAGACTGGGGTGAGGGGGGCATGCCTTGAGGTCCTTGTCAAGCCCCACCAGGTGAGATACATGGCCTGAGGTCCTCTGTCAAGCCCAGCCAGGCAGGGGGGCACAGCCTCAGGTCCCCTGGCCTGGTGCTGCGGCAGGAGGGGTGTGGCCTAAGGTCCCTGTCAAGCCTCAGGGGGGCAGGGGAGGGCGTAGCCTCAGGTCTCTACTGATTGCTCCTTAAGGCTGCTTATGGGAACTTGGCCTCAGGTGTGGGTGCAGCCATCTTTGTATGGAGTGATGGTCAATTAGCTTTTTCCCTCTTTATTAGATAGGATACTCAATAAAAATCAACCTATATCAAGTAATTGACGAAGGCCTAACTCCTCACAAATGTTTACAACTATGCAAATCATGTGAAGACGGGGTCTCGGTTCCAGATACTAATTATAAGATAGCCCCCACTTATGACCTTTTCTATTGCCCATGGGTGCTGTCATGGCGACATTACACCAAACATTCTGGAGACATCAGTGTTCCTTAAAAATCCCAGAACTCAGATAAAACTCAGGTTTTACTACTCATTACGTCATCTAATAGGTTTTCAAAATATTAGTTACCATTATACCCCGCGGGGAGGTAGCAAATATGTTAAGTATGTTCCTTTTCATCTCCATTTCAGGAGAGAGAGCCTCCTCCCCTCTCCCCCGCCAGATGACTATCCGAAGGAAGTGAGCGCGGGTCCTTGCTTTTGGTGCAAGTTAAGACATTTAATCTTAATACGAATGGGTGACTTTTAAAAGAAAAAAACTGTGGCTTTCAGAAACCCTTTAAAAACCACGCCAGGGTTAAAAAAAAAAAAGTTTGAGTTATACTTCGGCGGCACGTTGAGGATTTTTCCAAGAGGCTGGAAATCGCTTTGCGGAGTCTAAGTCTTCTTAAAAGCTCATCCGCTATTCCAACTACCTTCGTCCCTCCCTCGACCCCAAACGTGAAGGTTCTGGGAAGCGGGAGGCGGGGGTCTGCGTTCGGGGAACCCAGGCCGGACTCCGGCTCGGTGTCCCCGGCCCCGCGACGCGCCAAGGCCCGGAGGGGAGGGATGAACGTGCCCCCGGAGCCCCGCAGGAAACCGAGCCAACCTGCGCTCGCAGCAAAGCAAAAGCCCCCGGAGAGGCCGTCAGCCGCCGCCCCCGCCCCACTCAGCGACAACTTGCGCCGCTGTCCCGCGGGACGTCACGTCACGTCACACGTCCCTGCCGCACGCCGGCAGCCCGCGGCCACGTCCGCCGGGACCCGGCCACGCCTCGTCCTGCCCCTCGCTCCCCGGCGCCCGGCAGTGGGCGCTGCGCCTGCGTTTGCCGCGGAGAGCGAGGGGCGGGGCGAGCCGGGCCGGCGGAAGAGGCGGGGCCGGGGCGGGGCTGCACTTCCGCGGCCTCGGTGGGTGAGTATGGGGCGGGGGCTGTGCGCGGCCGGAGGGTGCCCAGTCGACTTCGGGGGCGCCCCCTGGAGGATCTGGGGTCGGGGAAGGAAGAGATGGCTATTGAATGGGGTGGTGTGGGGAGGGTGCGGGTGTGTGGACCGGCAGGCGTCGGCAAAGTGGGCTCGAAGGGAGGTTCCCCGTTTGTTTCTCCTTAAGAAGGACGAACTCTGACCACAGTGCACAGGTTTTCATCCCTGGGGCAGGTTTGTGAGCTTAGAGTTATCATGGTGCCACAAACCTCGCTCCTTGCCGCTGCCGAACCCGGCGAGGGGTTGACCGTAGCATGAGTCCATGAAAAGCACCCTAGTCCAGTGTAGCTACTGCCAGAGGTAAAATGAAAACTCATCTTGTAAGAAGTGAAATCCAGGATATAACATAACAGGGTGTAAACAGTGCCTGGGTCTCTCCAATGCTGTGCCCGGGCACGGGCTAAGTCTCTTCCAGCAAGCATACTGTAGTCAGATAATTTGCATTTCTCATTAGAAATGGAAAGACCACCTGTGCCAAATGATATTTCTTTAAAACCTCTCTTAAGAGTTGTGCCCTCTCATACACATACTTTTAGAAAACAAAATTAAAGAAAGGCTATCTCTTTCCCAAGTTGATAGAAAAACGAAACGTTTCCTGAAGGTGTCTGTGCAGGTTCTAAATCATTTTGGGGTCGTCCAGGATGCCCAGAATATTCTTCTATGTAATAAGCACGTCACATCATTTTTTGTTTAACGCAATAAGAATTTAAAAAAAAAAAGAAAGAAAAGAAAAACAGAAACAGTTCAGTTCTTTGAAGGCTTGCATTCTATTAGAAACAAAAATAAACATATGAAAAGTTACATGACCAATAAGAAAAGGGAATCATGGTTTGAGATATTCAACGTTGCCTAAAGAACACCTGTGCTTGCCTTGGAAAGTGGTGGTGAGTGCTTGAAACATTTGCCTCTCAGCTGATGGTTGCCATGTGGGCGCAATCCCCAACACAGGCTGAAAGTATATATTCTTATATAATTAAAATTTTTTAAAAATGTGATTGGCAATCAATTTACTCACACCCCCTTTATGAACCAGGAACAGACAATTTGTGACTTTGTAGATTATCACCAGAGTATTCAGAAATAATTGGTATTGAACGAAGAAAAAAAAATTCTTGAAATGGATGATCAGGTAAGGATTTAAGAAAACAGTGGGATTTAAGCTGGGTCAGACAGGAGAGGTGTCTTAGAGGGGAGAGGACATAAAAAGTGAATAAAATCTCAGTTGGGAAAGTAAGTAGAGATAACGAGTAAATTTTCCTTGGAATAGGTCTAAGAAAGCAAGTATAGAAAACTGGAAGAAAAACTGGTTTGGGAAACTACAGTGCCAGATTGGACTTTATTCTAGGTCAGTGCTTCTCACATTTGAACATACATCAGAATCATCTGGAAGGCAAAGAGATTGCAGACCCCCATTTGGAGAATTTCTGATTGAAAAGGTCTGGGGTGGGGCCTGAGGGTCTAAATTGATGCACATGCTGCTGGTCTGGGACCACACTTTGAGAATGACTTCCCAGGGTGTGGGAACCTTTGGAGGAATTTTATGTGGATAATAAGATCGATCACATTCATGGTTCAATATGAATCTTACTGTGAAGTCTAACACAGGAGACTGGAGATGAGAGAGAGAGAGAGAGAGAGAGAGAGAGAGAGAGAGAGAGAGAGAGAGAGAGAGAGAGAGAGCGAGCGCGAGCGCGCGTGCGAGCGTGCGCGAAGGTTCCTTACAATAGTTAGGACCTGTTTGGTGCCAGGCTCTCTCATGCACACTATTTCATGTGATACTCACTGTGACCTTGATGTGTTGATCTTGATATTTTCATGTGGAGAGCGGTAGAGGTTGCCCAGGTTGCCTAGGCTAATCTAGGAGCTCCCTAAAACTAGTTCAGTTTTGGACTAAGGTAGTAGCAGCAGAAACGAAAACATTTAATGGTGATGGAATTTAGAAAAACAGAGACTTCCCAAGTAGATTGAAACCTAAAAGTAAAAATTGGGAAAAGTGATAAAGGTAAAATATACAGGGAACTTGAGAATGTTCCCTGCATGAGTTCAGTGTGTGTCCTGTGTTACTCTTATTATTTAACAATAACCTATTTAAAAGTTGCTTATTTAAAAAGTCATCTTGCCCTACTAACATTTACTGAAATTATATGAAAAGGAGAAAGTAAAGCCTTCTTTGGAGGTGGTGGGAGATGCTGAATAGATTAATGGCATCTGGCAGCTTATCTTCAAATCAAAAGTGATTAGCATTGAGAAATGGAAACACATGTTATAACACTGCATTGCCTGTATGAACTGTGCTGTGCCTCGGACACTGACCTAATGTATTGATTTTGGAAATTCTGTATGCTTTGACTTGCCAGAGTAGTTATTGGAATTGAAAATATTCATTGGATTCATTTCAAGACAAATATCCCAAGTCAGACTGGCTGCTGCTGACCAAATTTTTAATGAAGGAAAATATCCATATATTGAAACCAGACTTTAAAAAGAAAGTTCTTAGAATAAATATATATTTACTTTAAAGTCTAGGAAAAAAATGTATGTATTCAGACATCAGTTGACTGAATAATTAACATAATGGAATTATTGACCCGAACAAAATTATAGCATACATTCATTCATTTATTCAGTGAGCAGCTAGGCAAGGCTGATTTTTAAAAATGAACACAAAACAGTGAGATCATTGCTACGATATAATAGAGGGATGTGACCGGTATGTGGTGACAGGAAACAGGAGTGACAACTGAAGGGGCATAAAAAGGAGCCAGGGAACTGCTGTAGATGAGTGCCAGAATGGAAGGTGAGTTAATAACGGTCGTAAAGATGGCTGTAGTAGATTGGGTTGTGCCCATTGGTAGGTTGCAGTCTACATTTAAAAAGTAGAGTAGAAAAAAGACAAGGTGTGTTACATGTAATAGGAGTATGTGAAGTTTTGTGAAACTTGTTTCAGTTATATGACTCTCTGTTGACTGATGTGAGTGTATTTCTCGCTATGGACTGTGGTCAGAGTTTAAAAGCCATTATAGTAGAGAAATGTGGGAATGAGGTTGGAGAGAAGGGAATGGATATAAAAGACATTTGAGGGAGAACAAATGTGAATCTTAAAACGCTGCTGTCCATGAGAACCCTCTTGTAGGGGAAGAGGCTGCACTTACCAACCCATTTCCTTGTTTTTGCCCACTTGGTGCTTTCTATTGTGTATTAATACATTCACATTCTGGTTTATTAGGAATGGCAGAGCTTTGAGGTGTCTTACTGAATGTTGTAAATGCTACAAAATTTCTCTTGTATTTTGGTAGTGCTCAGCTTAAAATCATAGGTAGGATGAAACTATATTCCCAGGGATCCTGGAAATTCATTGAAACAGATTGACTTGATTATTGGCCAAGTTCTTTATTTGTTCCTATAAGGAAGTAGGAATAGATGCTTAATTACACAAGCAGGTGGGAAGTCCTTCTCCCTACCTCTATGATTTTGCAACTCCAGTAGACTTAGTCTGCTGTGCCTGTGATGTATATATAGGGCTAGAAAATTGCTCATATAGGCTGAGTTAAATTGGCTTTTAAAAAAATTATAGACTCCTTCAAAGTCTGATTGGTTAATTGGTTCAAATATGTTATGCTCTTAGTTATCAGTGTGAATTACTCTTCATGGAGCAAAAAACACTAAACATTTTTTAGAAACTTGGCCCGTTCTGTCATCTAATATATTATTGAGATCTCCTACTGAAAAGGTTTACACAGAAAATGTAAACAGCCTGCCATCATCATTCCATATTCAAAGGGAAAGGGTTATTTGATGTGATGTGACACCACTCCTCTTTTTATACAACAATCTAGAGTTAAAATCCATGGTTTTTCCCAAGTTCTGCCAATAGTTGAGAGGCCTTGGTCAGTCAGTGTGACCTTCCTCAGCCTCCCCGGTAAAACAGAATCTCACCTGTGTAGTGAGGCTTAGCTGAGGAAATGCATGCACAATGTCGCACACATAATACACATTCAGTAAAAGGCAGCAGCTGCTGCTCTGCCATTCAGATGGTCCACAGATTTGGGGGCAACAAGAAAATCAGTCCCCAGGGAGAGATTGGAAGATATAAAAAACCTAGAACTATATACATCTGGATAGCTTTCTGGTTTGGGAAAAGAATGGAGTAAAATGGTATCATCCTCAGAAAAGATTAGCATAGCCACTGCACATGACACGCAAATTGATGAAGTATTCCATATTTTTAGGACTGTAATATTAAACTTTTTTTTTTACATGGTATCATCCTTTTCCTGTCTCTTCACTTAAAGACCTTTTCAGATTTGTGTTGGCATCAAAGGGCAGAGAACTTTACAATCCCAAACTATGATAAACTCTTCAGTATAAACCATGAAATTACCAGATGGCTGACATAGATTTTTCTGACAAAGGTTGCAATTAAATTGTAAGAAATCACTATCTTAAATGTTAGAGCAACCTGTATACTATTCATTAAATGATTTTTATTTGCCCCATTTACTTAGGAAATGTTATTTTCTTGCATTATCATAAGTGGGCATATTTTCACCTGGTAAAGCTCTTGTTGTTGGACTTTTCTTCCTTATAAACTTGTCTTTCTGTTTGGAAAACTAATGTAAAAGATACCTTGATTCAAAAAGGGAATTTAGACAGTAGAATATTTTTAGTCAAGATTCTCAGGTTAAGATTATTACTCAAATTTTTCTTTGTGGTACAGTAAATCAACATAAAGTAGAGTATCGGTTCACGAACCTTTAACAAAAATTATTAACCAGTTACTATGTGCCAAGCATTGTGCTAGATCCCGAGGAAATCAAGAAGAAGATCTTGTCCTTTCTCTGGGAGGATTATCAGCTGGGATGAGGGATGAGATTTGGTGAGAGAGATTTATAAATAGGTAAATTAGAACACAAGATGACAGATATTCTACCTGAGATTTGAGTAAAGGCTTTGGAGCATTGATGCCTAGGTAAGGTGGGGAAGACTATTTTAGGAGAGGTGATATTTGAACTAGGTAGGAATTTGGCAGGCAAGAAAGTAGAAGATATGCATTCTATTTTTGTTGTAGCATATAGTTAAAAAAACAAAACAAAACCAATACCATGGTTTAAAATGGTTACTAGACATTAAGATAATGATTCTGATAGAACCTCTGTGTATAGAGACATAGCTAAAACATGATTATCACTTTTTTATACGTATATCTTTTTACTAGGTGTTTGAGTATATAGGCTAATTTATATCTAATTTAGAAAATGTCATGTAAATATACGTTGATTGGATACTGATGGTCACAATAACTGGTTAAATTAGGGACTCATCAAGTTTGATTTTCGTATAATGAAGAAATTTAAATGCAGAATGAAGAAAGTTATGTGATAGCATAAATAAAAATTGAGTCATGAATAGTTATTAAATATTTCTCATTAAAATTATAAAAATTCTGAATTTTATCTTAAAGAGTTTTATTAAAATAGCAACTATATTTTGTTTGTTTTAAATGTCCTTTTGAGTGTTTGTGTCAAGGATATTAATGAATGTTTTAAAATTGTTTTTAAGAAACATTTTTACACATTTTTAATACATTATCCCTTTAGAATAAGACTAATTTTGTACAAACAGAAGACATTATTTTTTCTCCCACCCAAACAAAAGAATGTTGAGCAGTTTTTGTTCTAATAAACAAATGTAAAACATTTCTCTCTTTTCCCAATAGAATGTTATTTAGCTAAAATTATTTTTTGTGTTGATTGGCCTTGAAATACAATTTAGAGGTACTTTGAAGTAAAGAAATAAAATAAAGTAATTTATTTCATTGTGCCATGAGGTTCTTAAAAACCAAAATTTTCAAATAATCATAAACCCAAACTTGGTAGGCAATCTATAAGTTTTTGTTTGCCACTGCAAACTTGGTCTATGGCCTAATTTTTTACTAAAGTTTTGTAAATTGGTATAATAATAATAAAAGCTAACATTTATTGAGCTCTTGCTGTGTGCTAGGCACTGTTCCAAGCTTTTTACAGCCATCCTATTCTCTTACCTCTTCTCTTATGAGAAAGTTGAGGCACAGATTGGTTAATTAAGATGCCCAAGGTCATAATAGCGTAAGTGGCAGAGACTCAGTTACTGAGGTTCATAACTTCTGTATTTTCCTGACCCCTCAGCATGCTGAGCTTTGAAGTGGAGAAGGTCAGTAAATTTAAGGATCCTCAACTAATCCCATAGTGGTTCAGACTTTAGTGTGCTTACATAAAGAGATTCTGATTTGTGGGGCTGAGAACGTGTATTTTAAATAAGCACCCAGGAGGTTCTGCCTATACTTTGAGATACACTGATCTGGTTGGAATACAGTCCTCACAGCTCACTTCACATGAAGGCTTGTTGTCATTTGTGTGTGTATGTTGGACCATCCTTTGCAAATATCTGTGTTACAGAGTGAGTCTATTAAATACATACTCTATCTAAATTTATACCTCAAGTGCCTGCAGTACTAGTCATCTATATTGTGTTGAGACTAGTTCTCATCAGAGGGATTTTTTTAAGAAAACACTTTGGCCCTGGCTGGTGTGGCTTGGTTCAGCATTGTCCCACGCTTCAAAGTCACCACTTAGATTCCATGTCAGGGCACATGCCCACATTGCAAGTTCCATCCCAATCAGAGATGTTTCTTTCTCACTTCGATGTGTATTTATTTATTTATTTATTTATTTATTTATTTATTTATTATTTTTCCCTCTCTCTCTCTCCCTCTCTCTCTCAAAAGAAATCCAAACAAAAAAATTAAAAATATAATATTTTGAATGACCTTCAGAACAGGGTTTGATCTGAGAAAATTGTTAAGGTGAATATAAGATCTATAGTCAGAAGAAAATAAGCATGATGTAAAATTTCTTCCCTAATGTGTTTGTGTGTGTGTGTATGTGAATTTGTTTTCTGTTTAAAATAAAATATGTATGTACATTGCCCTTCATCATATAGCAGTAGTTCCATGATTTGGGTTATTCAGAATATTCACTGTAGGCCAGGAGGGATCTTCTCTCAAGATTGGTAAGAAACTTTCACCAATTTGTACTACCAAGAACCCTGATTTGTGTGTTTTAGAATATAGCAAAAACACTAAACCTTGTAATTTCACTTGAGCATCTTAATTGTATGTTGAACTGGCAAAAATATGTTGTTGTTGTTTTTAGGGTGTTTCAAATCACATTGAGCCAAAAAAGTCCAGTGTTTTCTTCAGCTGCAAACAAAATGAATATCCCGGTGCTGCTACATCCTCACCAGTGCTTCCTGAAAGGCCTTTTGCGAACACCTTTCCGACGTTACCACTTCATCTTGCACTCAAGAACTCATCTCGGATTAGGAGGCCCATGTGCTCGGCCATCTGATTCTCTTGGACTTCCTTGTACAAAGTGGATGCTGCTGTCAAATGGTTTAAAGAGACAATTATGTGTACAGACAACCTTAAAGGAACACACAGAAGGACTTTCTGATAAAGAACAAAGACTTGTGGATAAACTTTATACTGGTCTAACCCAAGGGCAAAGGGCCTGTTTAGCAGAGGCCATAACTCTTATAGAATCAACTCACCATAGGAAAAAAGAGCTGGCCCAGGTGCTTCTTCAGAAAGTATTGGCCTACCACAAAGAACAAGAACAATTAAATAAAGGAAAGCCACGGGCATTTCGAGTGGGTCAGTCTTTTCTTTTCCTTAACCTGTCCAGGAAATATTTTTCTCAGTTTTATATTAAAAAAAAAAAAGTCTAAATAATTTGTGTTCTAATGGGGATTTTTCTTTTCAGAATTTTGTTAGGAATTTTTGTTGTTGTTATCTAAAGTTTTACGTATGTCTCCTTTTTCCCCCGCTTGACACCCCTCTCTACCCCCCACCCCCCAGCCATTCCCACCCTGGGCAAGACCCAACCGCCCCAGTGTCTGTGTCCATTGTTTATACTAATATACATGCATAAAAGTCCTTTGGTTGCTCTCTAACACCCCCCCCCCATGCCATTTGTCTCTGCATCTTTTCTTGTTCATCAAATTATGTTGATCATTATATCCCACATATGAGTGAGATCATGTGATATTTATCTTTCTCCAACTGGCTTATTTCGCTTAGCATAATGCTCTCCAGGTCCATCCGTGCTGTTGCGAATGGTAAAAGTTCCTCCTTTTTTATAGTGGCGTAGTATTCCATTGTGTAGATATACCATAGTTTTTTAATCCACTCATCTGCTGATGGGCACGTAAGTTGTTTCCAAATCTTAGCTATTGTAAATTGTGTTGCTATGAACATAGGGATGCATATATCCTTTCTGATTGGTGTTTCCGGTTTCTTGGGATATAGTCCTAGAAGTGGGATTACTGGGTCAAGTGGGAGTTCCCTTTTTAACTTTTTGAGGAAACTCTATACTGTCTTCCATAGTGGCTGCACCAATCTGCATTCTCACCAGCAGTGCCTGAGGATTCTTTTTTCTCCTCATCCTCGCCAGCACTTGCCTGTTGATTTGTTGATGATAGCCATTCTGACAGGTGTGAGATGGTATCTCATTGTTGTTTTGATGTTAGGAATTTTAAATGTTTTTGCACTGTAAATATTAGCATTGGTATATTGAAAAAAGATTTCTGGCCATTTGAACCAGGCTCTGTATTTTAAAAGAATAACATAAGGCCCTGGCCAGGTGGCTCAGTTGCTTGGAGCATCATCTCATACACTGAAAGATTGTGGATTCGATTTCCCGTCGGAGCACATACCAGGTTGCAGGTTTGATCCCCAGCCAGGGTGAGTAGGGGAGGCAACCAATTATTGTCTCTCTCACATCCGTGTTTCTCTTTCTCTCCTAAAAAAAAAAAATTAATAATAATATAAGTTTTCTATTAGCAAAATTTTGTTTTGTCTCCCAGATAGAAATATGAATAGGAAGAACTGTTAACTAGTTTATTTAGTCTTGGTAATCCTTCAGCTTACTAGTGTAGAGTGAATTCCCAATTTTTGTGGTTATATCAATTATAATCATCCTTGTCACATTTTAAAATTCTACTTCTTAGATGTTTCATTAGTCTTTCTTTAGGAAAGTCTCACTTCTCTCAGGTACTTTTGTTAGAGTTTCTGGGAGTGGTTTGGCTCCAAGCACAACCATCTCATTACCAAAATGTATTTTAAAGGGGAGACCATATTTATTTGCCGTCTAAAAATAGTAAATGTTTATTTGATTTCTTGAATAGTTGACTTGTTCCTGAATTGCACATAAGCCTGTTGTATTTTTGAAATTATGCATTTTAAAAACAATTTAGATATCTTTAACTATCAGGATTTAAGCAAGTCAGTTTTGGGTGGCATGAGAGCTGTTCATGATGGCAAATTAGGTGATTCTAACCAACCCTCTCACTAAAAATAATTTACAGTGGTAGGCAAAGTGCAGATATTTTGTGAGGAATGAGTTAAGTATACATAAAAAATGATGACATTATATTACACTTTTATGTTTCAATTTATTGGTAATATGGGGACTAAAACCTTTTAACTTTTAGGGTAACAGGGCATAAATGCTTTAAAGATAATTTTAAAAAGAATGTTACTTTTCACACATCTTACATCTTATTCTTCTGCCCTCACTGAGGGAGTTCGCTCTTTGAGAATACTACACAGGGTGTTAATAATCTTTATGAAGACAAACTAGCAAACTCCCAAAGAAATTTTAGTGACGACAAAGTACTTATCCCTTAGGCTTTAAAGAGTCTTTGAAGAAAAAATGTCCCAGAAATATCTGGTCTTAACCAGTAACTCACAGGTGACTGGCAGCTCGCCATTTCTCAGTGCCTTTTGGGTTCTTCCATTTTGCCCTCATGAGGCCGGATAAACCTGTGTCTTTGTTGCAGTTACTTTATTCCCATTATAAATAAAAGCAGCAAATGTTTATTGAGCACCCATAGAGGTTTAAGACAGAAGCCTGCCCTGAACCAAGCATGCTATATATGCCATACATACATTTGAATATAGTTACAATTAAATGTTTGTTTTATATACTTTATTGAACATCCTCTTATATATCTTTTACTTTATGCCATGAGCTGTTTTAAACATATTGTCAATATTAACTCATCTAGTCCTTATAACAACCTGAAGAGATAGGTGCTATTATATCCATTTTATTGCAGCAAATCCTTAGGTACTGAAGGGCTAAGTAACTTACCCAAGATTACCTAGCTCATCAAAGGCAGAACTAGAAAGAGAACTGGCCCAGTGGATCCTGAGTTTGTGCTCTTATCTGCTATGCTTTACTAACTCTGCAAGTAGGGGGATTTTCTCCCTCCCTCCTTCCCTTTCTCCCTCTCTTCCTTTTATTCAGTAAATATATATTTTTATTTAAATGTAGCTGGTTTACAATCTTATAGTAGTTATATTAGTTTCAATGTAGTGATTCAGTAATTTTATACCTTACAGTGTGATCACCCCACTAATTCTAGTAATCATTTGTCATAGTGTAAACTTATCACAACATTAATGATTGTATTCCCCTTTCCCTTTTCACTCATTCCCCCATCCTCTGGCAAGCAACCATCCCTTTGGTCTCTGTTTCTATGAGTCTGTTTTGTTTTTTTAGTTTTGTGTATGTTTTTTGTTGTACTTTTATTTTTAAAGATTCCATATATAAATGAAACCATATAGTGTTTGTCTTTTTCTGCCTGACTTATTTAATTAGCATAATACCATCTGCCTTTCTTAAGACAAATTATTTTCAGGATTCAGTTTTTATTATGCTATAGGTCTGGTGCACGAAATTTGTGCACTCGAGCTCAGGGTTGGGGGAGGGGGTCCCTTAGTCTGGCCTGCAACCTCTCGTAGTCTGGGAGCCCTTTAGGAATGTCTGACTGAGGGCTTAGGCCTGCTCCCCACTGGCAGTTGGACATCCATAGCACTGCTGCAGAGGTGGGAGCTCCCACTGCTGCCGCTGCCTTGCCAGCTGTGAGCCCAGCTTCTGGTGCACTAACAATCGGGGCAGCTCATGCACTGAGCGTCTGCCCCCTGGTGGTCAGTGTGCATCACAGTGACTGGTCATTCTGCTGTTCGGTCAATTTGCATATTGGCCTTTTATTATATAGGATTCTTTGAATTATGGACGAAATGGGAAAAATTTATAAGTAGAAAATTATTTTCTCAATCACTAGCAATTTCTAGGTATTTTTTTCTAATAGGAAGATAAGTAGGTGGAATAACTACTGATCATAATGAGAGGTAGGCAGATGTAGAAGTTCAGCAAATTAATAACATAGGTGATGAAGTCTGTCCCAAAGATCTACATTATAGTAAAAAGGAGATCACATTTTGAAATTTTAGAAAGCAAATTTGGTGAACATAGGGAACTCAGAATGGTTTCCTTCCCATATCTCTATTACTTAGGAACTAGATAGTTAAATGGATTTTTGTTTACTGCTTTTGGAAATGTTAAAATACAATAAATTTATTAATAAATTAGGTTTTAATAAATTAGGAGAAACAGAAGGAAGTTAACATTTTAATATAAATCATTTATTTTATTAAATCAGAAGGTCTCTTTCACTGTAGGACTGTCTGGGCCCCCTGGTGCCGGAAAATCAACCTTTATAGAATATTTTGGAAAGATGCTTACTGAGAGAGGGCACAAATTGTCTGTGCTGGCTGTGGACCCTTCTTCTTGTACCAGTGGTGGTGAGTATTGCCAACTCTTCTTAAATTGCAGAGCAGAGGCTTGGGGGCTCCCTGTTATAAGTTAGTGGGAATTGGCAGTCAGGTGACTTCTACCCTCTAGCTGAGTTTGGCCTCACTGAAGGAAGGGAGTTCTGGGGGTGAGGTGGAGACTGAAGGAGGTACTGGGCTCTATAGACCAGGTTAGGCCAGGAGTGGTCTGGGCACTTAGAGACTAGTGTTGATCACGCCTGAGGCTAGGCCCCCGCTTCCCTCCTGCTTTTCCTGGCTGCATCAGCTTCTACACAATTCAGAAAATGGGTCCTTCCTCATTCGTTATTTTCCTCTTATTGTTGTAACATCTCAAATGTAAAACAAACAAACAAACAAACAAACAAAACACACCTCATAGCTTTATAACTTGTCACCTGTTTACATGACATGTTCAGTTGAACAGAAAGCTCTTAGAGGGCCCATGTGGTACCCCGCTGTCCCGCTACGGCACTTAGCATAGTGCACTGCACAGGGTGCTCGCTCAGCAGTTACTTACTGATTTGAGGTCATGCAGTCACTCAGTTTAATTTGCAGCTCATCAGAGATAAATGAATAAAGGTAGTTCTGCAAAGGATCATTTAAGGAAAACATAAAGCGTTCCATATAAATAGGAAGGGTTTTTCTTCTCTTACCCCTTGATGATTTAAGCTTTTTCACATTATAGTTACCCACAGAACAAGTATTTTAGTGCCTCCTCTAGGTGAGGCATTATGCAAGGAAGTACTGTATCGTCTAACAGTGAATAAGACAGTCCTCTTGGCTTTATGGAGCTTTATTTCTTATGAGAGAAACACAGGCCATTACAAAGTAGTGTGTGTTGTGAAGGAGGAAGTACCGTGTGCTTTGTGTGGAATTGTTTGCTTTGTATTCTGTGGGTCTAATGCTAAAAAGTAAAGAGAATATAGTCATATTTCTGGGGCTTTATATTAATAGAGAGGTTGACAACAATTCATGTTAACACCTATTGAGAAATTTGGCTGAGAGCATTCAGTTTTTGATTCACTATAATAAAAGGTTAATTATAAAATAGAATTTATGTTCACGAGGTTAAAATAAAATTCATATCAATGTAGTGTCTTCTTTACAGTCTAGGAACTTTGTTAAAGGTATATACCTGAATGAAGAATTTTTTAGAGTGGCCCTCATTTCCATATAGGTGAGAAGGCTACCCTTCCTCCTTCCCCTCCCACCCCCAATAATACTCTAGAATACTTACAATAGCAGAAGAAAATAATAGCTTGGGGAAATACTAGCAGAAATGGTGACATAAAATAGTCTGATCCAAGTTGCATAGCCTGACCTTTGTCAAACACAAAAACAAAATATAGACGTTGAAAGAAAAAATAAATAAACAGATATACAGTATACTATAAGTACAGATTTCTACCTCATTACTACAACAGTATGTACATTTGAGAAGCAAACCTTGTGCTTTGCATTCATGTACCTCCTGCAGTAGCTCTGAGACCTTCCTAAGGGCCTGTACCCCACAGTTTTGGATTCACTGGCAAAGACAATTACATGGGAGAGTAATTTCATAATGTGGAGTTCAGTGTGTTAGGATCTATAGGCTAGTGATTTCGGGTATAGCTTTGGCAGATTGTTGACTTACAGAGAGGATTTCATGCAGAAAATTACTTTAGAAAGAAGTTTCATGTGCAGTAAATAAGGTAATTGAGACATGTGGTGAGCCTGTGCTCCAGAATTAGAACCTATGAGAACTCTATACTGGGACCATAAGGGAAAAGATCATGTTTTTTCAGCAAGTTCTCAATGTTTAGCATCAACTTTATGTGGGAAAGTTAGCTCTTAGGCAGAGTGAAAATTAAAATTCAGGTTAGAACAGCTCTGCATTCTCAAATGTTCATATGTGGCTAAAAGAAAGATGTTCAAGGTGATTTCTGTACTTCCAGAGCTTTCTGTCCTGCAGAATTTGCAAATATTGATGTTTGCCAAAATACTGCAGTAAATCACCGTAGCAGTTAAGTTAATTGCCTCCTGTGAACAAGCATTCAGCATACAAAATATGTAAGACATGCTCCTGTGGGCAGGGAGCTGACTTTACAGCCGGGCTGCTCCACCGTGGCACTGAAATTCCTGGTGTCAGCAGCTATCCCGTGTTGCAGGATGCTTAGCAATATCATGGTCTCTACCCACCCGGTGCCACCAGCACCCTAATCCCCAGTTGTGACAAGTAAAAATATCTTTAGGTATTGCCAAATTTCCTCTGGGGCAAAATCACCCCCAGTGGAGAATCATAAGCATAATGTTAAGATGACAGTAAAGAAACCACCCTGGCTGGAATGCAAGATTGGTTTGGGGCCTAGTGGAAGCTGAAATTGGACAGGCTGCGTCAGGCTGGAGAACCTGGATTTGAACCTCTAATCCAGGGGTAGGGAATGTCCAGCTTGCATACGGTCCGCAAAATCATTTGGTCTGGCCCTGCCAAGTTATTAGGGGTGGGCTAATTAAATGTTTGATCACATACAGCAGGCTAATTTTTAAATTGAGAATTTTGTATGGCCCTGGAATGATGTTATAAATATCCAAATGGACCTGGGCAGAAAAAAGGTTTCCACCCCTGCTGTAGTCATTATAGGTTTTGAGGAGCTAGAAATGCTAAATAAATAAATAAATAAATAAATAAATAAATAAATAAAAGGAGCATTGTATACACTATGTGGGGGAGAAGCTCAATGATATGAAATACAATTTGAGGGTTTGGGAGAAATGTCATAAAACATTTGGCTCATTGATCACTGTCCCTTATAGGTGTTCCATGATTGTAACTGTGTTTTAGGATCACTCTTGGGGGATAAAACCCGAATGACTGAGTTATCAAGAGATATGAATGCATACATCAGACCATCTCCTACTAGAGGAACTTTGGGAGGCGTGACAAGGACTACTAATGAAGCTATTCTGTTGTGTGAAGGAGGGGGATATGACATCATTCTGATTGAAACTGTAGGTGAGTGTGATTTTCTGTTTCCTAACAAAATTCTGTTCCATTGAACTCTGTATAAATATGAGTGACAACTAATTTCATTGGTTATTCAGCAGATATTTACTAAAAGCAAAATTAAATTCAAGATATCTCAGACTGTATAGAGATATAAATATATAGGCTATAATCCTGCCCTTAGAGAAAAGAGAAATAAGCCATGTATCTGGATAACTGTTGCACAGTTGATGGGCTATAGTGTCAGAGAAGACCTGTAAGTGCCAGGATGACCTACAGAAACTATACTTTAACATGACACCTATTTTGTTTAAGCACATTTCAGATGTCTGCAATGTCCACTAACAAATTTATTATAATTTGGGTGGCTGTTGAATACAGAGCCATGGTTATTTCATTTTTATATCCCTATTGCATAATTTTATGTGATGAAAATACTGAAATAGAAACCCAAGGAATTAACATTCTTATGGAGAGACCATCTATTATGTTACTGTATGACAAATGTTTGTGTCACAACCTGATTTAGATTTGGGGTATCAAGTAAGACTTCCAGAGGAGGTGACAGTTGAACTCAGTCTTGAAGAAAGGATTGGAGCTACATAAAGTATGGGCTAAAGGGCGTTTGCAAAGATAGAGGAGCCAGGGAACGTGGCCCACTCAGAGGACAGAAGTGTGCTCAGGATGCTTAGAGCAGCGTTCATGAAGACTGGATGTGACTAGAGATGGGGCTGTAGGCTAGGAACTCTACCTTCTGAGGCTGGATGGAGGGAAGGTTGCCCTGGTGGTAACTGGAGAATCCAGAGAGAAGAGGACCCTAAAATTCCCCGGTCAGTGTGGCTCAGTAGTTGAGAATTGGACCATGAACCAGGAGGTTACAGTTCAATTCCCAGTCAGGGCACATGCCTGGGTTGTAGGCTCTATCCCCCATGGGGGAAGGGAGGGGGGCGGCAAGCAGGGGTCGACAAATCATTGTTTTTCTCTCATCAATATTTCTATCTACCTCTCTCCCTTTCTCTCTATAAAATCAATAAAAATATATTAAAAACAAACAAACCCAAACCTTGAAGTTGCATTTGGCCGCTTGACCTAGAGACTCAAAATAACTGTGATTCAAATGAGAAAGAGGTGTATTTCTTTTGCAAATAAAAGAAGCTTGGAGGCAGGTGTCGTGAGCAGATGTGGGGGCTCTACTGTGCCCTCAATGCCCCATTCTTAGCACTTGTTCCCAAGGTTGCTCACGGTTCAAAGATGGCTGATGAAGCACTACCTGTCACATCCATGTTCACAGTAGAAGGAAGGGGAAAGGGGATAAGGAAGGGAGGAGGCAGGCAGAAGAGTGGACACCTTCCTGGAAACCCCATCTAATGACTTGCTTCTGCACGTTTATCACTTGTAGCTGAAAGGGGGTCTGGAGAGAGAATATGGTCTCTCACCAGGTGCATGGTCTCCTAGTAACACTGGGGCCAGGAAGTAGGGAAGAATAAATGCTGAATGGGCAACTGTAAGTCTCTGCCACACTGAGGAAGGAGAGAGTTTTGAGAGGAGTTCAGTGGAGCGGGGGATGTGGAAATCCCATGTAAATGGATTGAGATTAATGTGAATTAGTCAGATGGAGACAATGAGCATGTATTGCTTCTTTTTTCTCCTAGAAATTTAGCTCTATAGAGAAGGTGGGAAATCTGGTGATGATTGGAGGAGGTTGAGAGATTTGGTCTGTTTTTGTTTGGTTTGGTTTTCCGATGAGAAAGACTTGAGTACAATTTACATGATGTGCTGAGGGACAGGCAGGGTTAGAGACAAAGCAGAGTGACCCTAGAGGAGGGCAGAAAAGAGGGTCATATCAGCCAGTGCTTGTAATGCTGGGAATGGAGAGGAAGCAGGAAGCAGAACTAGTTTCACATATGCTTATTTGTGGAGTGGGAGAGGGAGCAGCTGGAGGGTGAAAGGGAGTAGCTGGAGGAGGGAGGAAAAAGCTGGAGGGTGAGAGGGAGAAGCTGGAGGGGAAGTTTGAAAAGCTGGAGGGGAAGGGGTAGAAGCTGGAGGGGAAGGCCAGAAGCTGGAGGGGAGAGGGAGAAGCTGAGGAAGTTCTTGCTGCCATTTCACTGTGCAGTAAGTGCGAGGATCATCATCACATGGAGAGATTATCGGACACTGTATGGCCACTGTGAGAAATGGGAAGGAGCTGACTGAGGGTTTTTAGGAGCATTGCTTTTACAGGGCCGTAGGAATCTGCAGGAGTCATTGGAACCCCTGAACTTAGAGTAGTGCTTTAGATCCTCACATGAGCAGTTTCTCCAGTGTGCCATAGAGGCCAGATAACCGCACTGACCCTGGGTAGGGGTTTGTAGGGCTGGTGCAGAAAGATGAGAAGGCAAGAAAATGTGTTGGTAGGCACAGTGCAGGTTAGAATCACAGTGCTCGAGCTGCTCACTGGTGAAGGGAAGCCAGGAGAGAGCCACAGGAGTGAGGAGGGAGTGGAGGCCTCGGGGTTCCCCATTCTTTTAGAGACTGAGACTAACAGGAAGGACAGGAGATCGGAAGGACGACAGGTGTGCTGTAAGGTGAGAGTGTAATAAGTCCTGCAGAGGTGGGTGTTTAAGGGGGATCGGGTTGAGAGGTTGATTGAATGAGTGAATGAAGGAGAATGGAAATGATGGTCAGTGTAGTTGAAAAAGTCAAATTACTGTGAACATTTTAGTGTATGGTTGTGATTTAAAATTTCAGGTGTGGGTCAATCGGAATTTGCCGTTGCTGATATGGTTGACATGTTTGTTTTACTGCTGCCACCAGCAGGAGGGGATGAATTGCAGGTAATTGTTTTTGACTTTTTCCTCCCCAAAACACAAAGCACACCTCTCTGAAAGTGCAAGTTTCAACTGTGGATTTTTTAAAATTTTTATTTTTGTAAATTAAGTTGATATTAGTGTGGGGAAAGAAACAGCAGCATCCACATTGGCTGAAATACATGTCAAAGGCAGATTCTGTACATTCTTCCCAACCATAGCAATAGAATTTATCACCTTGAGCTAATGATGTAACGTGGATGTTTTCACATGGAACGTGGGAGTGATGTAGTATATGGGCAGCTCCAACAGGAAGGGACTGCTGTCACATGGTGTTTGCAGTACAGTTGGCTCAGAAGTTCCTCCTGAGATACCACTTTGATTTTTATCGGGATCCCACTACCATGGTTTATGGATTATAAAATAGGATTCTTTCTTTCCTGCTGCAATGCAATCCGGCACTGACCACCTGGAGCTGGCAGCCTACCAGGTGGAGGGCACTGTCCTCCAGAAGATGCCCTCACTCCAGACACCAGCAACAGGCTTGGGGTTCCCGGCCCACCCACGGCTCTGACCAACTGGCCACAAATGAGGGGGGAGGGGGTTCCTCACAGTTTGATGATTAACTAGCATGACTCATAGAACTCAGGGAAGCACTGTATGACAATCACAGTTCTATGATGATACAAATCAGGAGCAGCCAAACGAAGAGACACAGAGAGGGGTCTGGAAGGGTCCCAGACTTGAAGCTTCTCTGTCCTGAGGACACATTCCCTTCTGGCACATTAATGCGTATCTCCTGCCAGGGAGTTCACCTGTGCATCAGTGTCTGGAGTTCTTTAAGGGTTTTTTTTTTATATAGTTGCACGCCACTCACCAAGTCGTTGTCCACATGACTGATCTCAGTCCCCAGGCCCTCCCCCACCCCTATCCTTCCCCAGAGGTCAGGCCCAAGGGCCCAACACTCTCATCACAAGATTGCCCTTTTCCGTGTGGGCAGCTCCCATTCTGAACTCAGGAATAGTCCAGGCACCCATGGAATAACACAGGCACGCCTGTCACTCAGGAAATTCCCAGGGCTTAGAGGTTACTTCTCAGGAACCTTGGACAAAGAACAGATAAATTCTTTATTATACAGTACCCCCCTCCCAATTGTATAATTTTAAAAAACAGTTACAGCAGACTATGGATGCTTCAAACTAGAAACATTAACTTAGATTTAATCATTGAAATTTACATTTAAAAATATTTGAAAAGAAATATTGATATTAGATAGAAAAATCTACATTTTTCAAATAAGGTTTGGCCTTAGATTTCCAGTGTTTTATGCAATGTAATATAAATAAAGAGATTGAGGCATTTTTAGTCATCAGGTTATTTTTCCTCAACAGCAAATTAGAAAAAACAACAACGCTGTGTACATTTAAGGAAAACTTCACAGACTTTGTTTCCAGAAACAGATGTGGTGACAGGTGTTTTCTGTTCAAGCACCTCAATGATAGGTGCTTTTGCATCTTGCATTGTTAGCACACAAGAAGAATCCTTCACGAGACAATGTACCTATCTCCTGCCATGTGTCTTGATGACATATCTACTCTGATTCTGAATGCATTTCAGCAGGTGAGGCTCTAAACTGAAGAGAGGCATTACAGATGACTTTCATATTCCAAGAGGTGATTCTTTTGAGTAATTTTTGTCAATAAATGTGATTCCTGGTACCCAGGGCTTGGGAAGATGCAGAGAAGACATTAGTTAATGAAGTGTAGGACTTTCAAAACCTTAGTACCCATAGGTGTCCCATTTGTTTGCTACAGTTAAATTAAATACTTGTGATGAATCACTTTCTTCTCCTTTTCAGGGTATCAAAAGAGGTATTATTGAGATGGCAGATCTGGTAGCTATCACCAAGTCTGATGGAGACTTGGTTGTGCCAGCTCGGAGGATACAAGCAGAGTATGTGAGTGCACTGAAATTACTCCGCAAGCGTTCAGAAGTCTGGAGACCAAGGGTGAGCTTACGCTCCATTCTGCATTTTTCACTGGGCATGTTAGAGGATGGAAGCCCCCAGCTAGACATATAATCAATCTTTGCTTGTATGTAAAATTATTAGTCTGTAGTCATGATTTTAAATATAATTCCTTAACCACTAGATGCCAACAACTAGATGTGAGGTGATAGATTAGATTGCTTAATGCTTGACCTGAGCCATTTGGAAGTGATAGCAGATCCATTCCGAAAAGAACTATCCTTAAGATTATGGAGTAATTAATGATTTGATGATCTATAATAGAGTTTGAATAAGACAGAAAAGGCTTTTGAAGTGATAACTTCCCATTATGCTTGGTGGGTTCTGTTTTCAATAAGGGAAAAGAAAAAGGGAAATCCTGTAATAAGTGATGCAATAATATTGATGTGGGCAGCTTTATCTGCAGGAGGACTCTGTTATTAAAGACTAAACCAGCCCTCGCCAAGTGGCTCAGTTGGTTGGAGCAAAGTCCAGCACACCAAAAGGTTTCGGGATGCATACGGGAGACAATCCATCAATGTTTCTCTCTCTCTCCCTAAAAATCAATAAAAACATATCCTCAGGTGAGGATTGAAAAAAAGACTGAGCTGTAATCACTGTAGTGAGAGCAGTGATGACATAGCTACCTTTAGCTCCCAGCCTCCCCCAGTCACGTGTGTGTTGGTCCAGAGCAGTCAGGTGCTGGATGTTCTGCTCTTAAACATTTGCTGAGTCAGGCAGCTTGGACAGAGTTGCTCAACTGGGTTTCATTTCCTGGCACTCAGGCCTCAAAGAAACCTACCTAGCAAGGCCTTTCTCATCCTTGCGACCCTCTCACAGTTTCCCAGGAAGATCACCTGAGCAATCCTATATCCAAATAAATCTCTGGGCTAGAAAACTTGACCTTGAATCAGTAATTCATTTCTGCTGTGCACAGGAATCCTAGTAAGTTACCTTGGTGTATTTCCCAGTATATTAACTTTGACACTTCAATAAAATGTTTCCTTGCCATTGCCTAGGTCCTTAGACTGTAAGAATGAATTGGCAAGTGTTGGAGTCCCATGAAAGTGTGGTCTATCATTTTAAGTAACACAGTTCTGGTTTTTCCCCTTTTCAATAGGTAGTTCGTATTTCTTCCAGAACTGGAGAAGGGATCGCTGAGATGTGGGATAAAATGAGAGAATTCCAGGAACTGATGCTTGCCAGCGGAGAGCTGACATCCAAACGACAGAAGCAGCAGAAAATCTGGATGTGGAACCTCATTCAGGAGAGCGTGCTAGAACATTTCAGGACCCACCCCACCGTGCGGGGCCAGATTCCTCTCCTGGAAAGGAAGGTGCTCAGCGGGGCCCTCTCCCCAGGGCTAGCGGCAGACTTGTTGCTGAAAGCTTTTAAAGCAGAGACTAATGAGATGTAGGCTACACGGAAATTGTACATATCATGTCATGAATATTAAAAGTGATGCTTCTGTGGTGCCCTCGGCCTTCCTGTTTGTGAACCGTGCTTGAAAACTGAAGAATGTTAGATGTGGATGGCCAAGGTCAGGTGGTCGGACAGTGTTCGTAAGGTGCCTATTTTACTGATTTCCATTTTTTTCTGTTCCCTTCTATTCTTGTACCTGGCACGGTGGCCTGTAAAGTAGTTTCTTCTCATCAGTCAGGAGCAGAGAAAGCTGAGTGGTAGATCGTGTACCTTAAAGTACCTCCTTTGATTCTGTGTTCTCTGGGAATTTCAAGAGAATCTGGAAGCAAAGAGTCACCACATTTCTGAGGCCAGAACGATACACAGAGGGTTTCTAAGAGCTGAAAATCATGAGTGACTGCTCCAAGCATTTCTGAAATAGCCATGTACACACATGACAAAGCAGTTGGAATGTGCTGTGATGTGAGCACAGCGTTCAGGTTTCCTTATCTGAAAATGAGGGTAAGAAAAGCTACTTTACAGGGTCGTTGGAATAACTAAAGGAGAAATTATAAAATGGCTAGCGCTCAATAATTGGTAGGTGTTGCTAGAAATATTACACTTGGGCACGCCTGCCAGGTCTCTGTTCTATATAATACAGACTGGCACCATTTAATTTTAGTTTGGGCAAACTGCTTAATCTCCTTGTGTCTCACTTTCCTCGTTGGTAAATGGGTTGACAACAGTGTGCACCCAGAGTTTTTGAAAGGACTATTTTATTTAACATAATGCCTGGACATAGTAAGTGCTAAATTAGTATTTACCAATAGTCCATACCTCTTAGGGTGGTGGTGAGAATAAGTGAATTAGTCTCCCTCCAGCTTAGAAGGATAATTCTTTTCTGAAGAAAACCTCATAGGTTGACTTTGCCTTTGTCAAAAGCTTAGTTACCACTAATTTATGTAGGTAGGCAGAAATATACTGTGTTCCAAACTGAGCTCCAGAATTGTCAGGCATGTTGCTAAAACCATACCAAATTCCATTAAAGTGACTACTGTTCCTTGTATGGTTACAGCTGCGGGGAACGTTAGCGATCACCATACAGCCTAGCAAGGAACTTTCTCTTCGTCATCGCTCTAGGCATGGCTGCTTACCTCCTCCCCTGAGCTCTGTAGCCATTGCCCGGGCTACACTGAAGACAAAAGCTGGGGAACGCGTGGTGGCTGGCACTCACTCTGCTAGCATGTCATGCAAGGAAAATGAAAAGCAATGAAGAAGTTGAAATTTTTCTTAAAAAGGAACAATCTGAAAGAAATTTTAGCCTATTTGTCTTTCTTTGCTTCCACAATAGTATTTTGGTTAATTGGTTACTAAATTTATGAACTTTTTAAAACCCATTTGACATAAATGTTGGTTATAATCCTGACCCATGAGGCATATATAAGTTTATAATACTTTCTTGGCACTAGTGGTAAGTCTGACAAAATATCAGAGTCGGTACAAAAGTAGTTCTAAAATATTGAATTTCTCCCCCCCCCCCAAAGAAAAAAGTGAACTTTGTACTGTAAAATGTAAATGATGCTAGTGTGAGTCAAAGTACGTTAATACATACCTGAAACTTTGGTACATAAAGGCAATCTTGGGGTATTTTATTTTCCTTAGCGATCTCAGCATCTTGATGGAAAGAGGTGAGGGCACATGTAAGCCAATAAACTATTCTACTCTCAGCAAGTCTAAATTCTTATTAATGTTGCTTTTAACTAACACAGAGGACATCATGTGATTGCATTCTCAGAGCTCTGGCCAATCTTAGAGTTCTGTAGAGCGATATCTCATGATGGATGACACGACAGTTATTTATTAGGCTCATATTCAGGTACCAAATCCTGTTACAAATGGAACCCAATGATCAACACGTTCTTCTTAAGAATAAAGTCACATTAGCTTTTACACTCACATTTGGCTGACTTGGGATTCCCTCACATTACAAAGGGTCGCAGTCCCTTGGAAAGTCCTCTCCCAAGTATTTTTGGAAGTTCCAGAGGTTCTTCACTGGTTCACAAGTAAGCTCACACCCAGGGAAGCACTCGACTAGCCTGCCTGAAAGGTCACAGGCCCCGTCTCCATGGCCGGTGTGTGGGGTGCTGTGATTGACAGGAAACACTTGGAGCTGGGGAAGGACCCAGTCTTCAAAATAAGTGGGGTGTCAGTCACAGAATAGCGTAGAATGCCAGGCAGGCAAAACAAACGTCTACTGCAAATACTTCAGTCTCCAAATACTTGAAATAAGGTAAGGTATAAATAAATAGGTGTTATTGATGTGTTATACCAGCGATTTTCAATCTTTTTCAGCTCAAAACACACATAAACTAATTGCCAAAATTCTGTGGCACACCAAAAAATACGTTTTTTGCTGATCTGACAAGGAGAATAGGTATTTATTCACACCGAATGTCTATTGTTGTGTTGGCTTTTGTCTTTTTTTTATTTGCCAACCTAAGGGAAAAGAGGTCAGTGCCCCTGATTAAGTAGTCAGGGTTTGCATTCTTGCAACACACCAGTTAAAAATCACTGTCATACTAAAATAAAACGTGAACTTCAGGGGAAGGGTTGACTAATTATTAACCTAATTGTTGGTAATATGTACCAAAACACACAAGTCATGAGGGCCTTCCCTGCTCCAATTTTGTCTCATATTGTACAACTCTAGTTGGCACTTTAATACTTCATAGTTTCTTGGTTCCCAATTTCAAATTCATGACAGAAATAGGATGGGTCTGTTTATCTTTGGGAAGCAACAGAGGTCACTGAGGGAGATCTGTGGTGGGTTGTACCAGGGGGTAAATGAAGTATAAATACAGTTCCTTCCTATTCTGCAGGAGCAGTTTGTAGGGCCAAGTTTCTTCAGATTCCTGGGTGGGGCTGGCATGACGTATATTTCCACCACAGAACAAATTATTGGGTGGGTAAGTGGGTTTCAGAGGGGTGAGGTGATTTGCTTAAGCAGCCAGTATGACTTGGACTCAAGCCTACTTCTCCTAACTCTTTGCTTAGTGATCTATTACATGGATTAGAAAACAGCTCTTAAAGAAAATGTATTGCCTGATGACCATAATCTTTTATGCCTCCACAGCTTGCAGCCTGAACTGTCCAGTCTGTGGTGATAGAAACTGAAATTGTGTGTGTGTGTGTGTGTGTGTGTGTGTGTGTGTGTGTGTGTGTGAACATGCTGTTTTGACTGGAAAGGGACTAGAATGATACATCTGGGTAGTAGTTTCATGGATGTACACACATGTAATCAGTGTAATTGTGTACTTTACTGTTTGATGTTACGTCTCAGTTAAAAAAAAAAAAATAAGAATACTGTTTGATCCAACCTCTTGCCAGGCTGTCAGTGGTTAGGGCTGGAGATCTGGTCAAGACCTAGTAAATTCCATAGACGACACACCAGCCCTTGTCCTAGTGGTAGAAACCTCTACCCTTTTCAGTTCATGGACTGTTCCATAGAACAGCAATACCCCAAGATGCTCCCCACCCCACAAAAGGGGTGTGTGGTCCAATCTGTTTAGGAAATGATGCACTTTTTAGGTCCCTTCAAAAGACTGACTATGAACATTGAAATAGTAAAGACTGTAAGTTCCATAGCAAAGAAACATGTGTATTCCAACTGTCTGAAACTTAACCCTGACACTCTTTTAATTAATATCTGTTAACACTCTATTGGTGTAATTGCCTTGAGTTTAGACAGAAGCCTGGTCAAGGCCGGCTCCTCCTCCCAATCAGGTGATATGTATGCCACCTGCTGGTGGTATTGGGTATGAGGTCACTCTGAAAACTTCTATTTTCACTAAATGTATTCACAATACAGAGTTCTTTATTAGATATTTTTCAAACTTAACCTACCAGGGACTCAGCAACATATTCAGTTACAAAAGGAAGTTTCTAGTGCAAACTCTCAACCTGGAAGTCAGACCATATGAATCAGCGCTGAATACCAGTGACCAAGACAAGGAAGTGAAGCATTTGATCAAATGAGAGCCAAGAATGAGTGCAAAGGCCTTCAGAATTCTTGGATGTTCTAAAAAATACCTATAATATACTTACAAAGGCCTTTAACATTCTAGGACATTCTAAAGTAATACCTATGAAAATAAATTTAGTCTGTTCTATTCTCTAGTTTGAAGTCTAAGTAAGTCATTTTAACAGACTTGTTCAATATCTAATAGACTGATGAGCCGAGCTCTAATTCCATCCATACCCAATATTAGATATTGTCACTTAAATTGTTACATTTTACTACTCTTGATTCTTGAGGTTTTAATTGTAAAAAGGATATTGTAATTGATTCGGGGAAAAGAAATAAAAATAATATAAAGGACCAGAAATGTGGTAAGTTATAGTAAAGTACAGTTACTTGTTTTGTAAAGAGCTTATTACACTACATATTTTTATAAACTACCTCACAATATAAGAAGGAAAAGTTTTAAAATATTTTCTACAAATAATCTTACATAATGTGTTCTATTTATTTTCCTGATTCAAAACAATATAGATCACTAGAAGAGATTTCTTTAAAACCACCATTTTTGCCCAAATGGCTAAAGGTTTAAGCACACAAGCAGTTGCTACCTAACACTGGGTGGGCCAAAAAGAGAGATCAGTCCATTTCGTTCATCTTTCACTCTTCATCTTCATCTTCTTCTCGTTACATCTAGATTCCTCCAAGAGATCTCTAAAGAAATCCCTGCCTTCAACTCTATGAGCAAATGCAGCTGGGCGTGCCAACACCTACCTAATCCTAGTAGGGCAAAGATGCCATGGGCCAAACTTCAAAGTTGAGGAAATAAATTCCTATTTAAAAAAAAAAAAAATTACACAAAGTGCACCCATTTTATTTTTTTAAATTATATTTTTATTGATTTCAGAGAGGAAGGGAGAAGAGAGAGAGAGAAACATCAATGATGAGAGAATCATTGGTCAGCTGCCTCCTGCACACCTCATACTGGGGATCAAGCCCACAACCCCAGTATGTGCCCTTGACCAGAATCAAACCGGGACCCTTCAGTCCACAGGCTGATGCTCTATCCACTAAGCCAAACAGGCTCCGGCCCTCATTTTAAATATTGTACTAGCAATTATTTGCAAATAATGCTATTCTCAAAGAAACATGCCCTATGGTGTGTCAGCCTCGCTGTGGAAGGCTGTTTAGATTCAGCTCCTGGAGCAGTATTCCTCATATTCACAGATCAGTTGCATCAGAACGTGTAACAATATAAATACGCTAGTTTTTGGGCTTTTCCTCAGACCTGTGGTTTGTGAAAGTAGGGCTCAGTCCTCAAAATGTGTAAGGTGCCCTTAGGTGCTGATCCCATCCCCTGTGGAGATTCTTTGTTCTTAGCGCTGATGACGGATCCGCTCAGAGTGGCTGATCGAGGGGAGGCAGGACATCTGTCTTTATAAGAATTCCACCGGTTACATGAATAAATACAAGGGTTGAGAACTGCTCCAAGAGATGGTTAAAGAAGGGAGGCACTATTTGCCAGTGGATTGTTTGTGAATGTGGAGAAAGATAGGCAAACATATTAACCAAATTTAGAGTAATTATTCATGATGGATACAGGAAATCATGTGAATACAAGATTGAATGGCATGATCTCTCAACCTAAGAAAGGTTCACAGTGACATCTCAATGACCTGAATTCTTAACCCTGGCTGTCCTTCAGAATCCTCCAGAGTGAGCTTTTAAAAAATACCAACGCCAGGGTCCTCCTCCAGGCCAATTAGATCAGAATCTTCAGGGCTGGGAAGAGGTGAGGCCTGAGCTGCTGCTTATCTTAACAGCTCCTGGGTCGACCTTGTGTGCAGCCAGCCTAAGCACCACATCGCTCTGTGACACAAACAGTTTGAGTCACCTGCTATTGTTACATCACAAGCAGTTCATGTTTGCTTCCAGACCCGTTAGAAGAAATGAATGCTTGGCACTGCCCTATGATCTCTTGTTCCCACCTTTTCAACCACCAGCTTTAAGATTTACCGTTCTATTTATAAAAGTGGTTGCCACCTGTTTTTTTTTTTTTTTTTTTTTTTTTTTGCCATACTTTGCAGCGATATATATTGCTTGGAAGAACAAAGGCCAGAAAGTTAAATAACTTACAAATTTGCTAGTTAAAATTGGGGGGCATGAGGGCAGGAATGTCTGTGGAATCTGTTGCTTGGCAACTTTTGAGGAGCCAGTCAATTACCTCTTGCCACTAAAAGGAAATTAACTCCTCGTAATGCAGAGGGCCTGAAAAGTCACCCAGAGCAGGCCATCCGTAGCCATGTCGCACTTTCTCTACTTGACTCCACAAGTCCTTCTGCCCTTTAGCCCTCTTACTTCTCAGGAGTTTGACCTGATCAGACGCAAGGCTGGAGCATCTTGGCAGAAGGAAACGAAATGGTCAGATTCTTCTCTGACAACCTACAAGGGCAGTTACCGCAGGAAAGAACTGGATAAATCCGCAAGTGGCCAATTTTGTTCGGAAGCAGGAAAGCAGAAGCCTGAGTGTCGCCAGTAAGATTTCTTTGTAATTTGCACCTGAATATGTCACTATAATAGACAAGAATGCTGTTAGAGAAAGAGGGTATTGTAAACCTGGGAGAAACTTCTGCGTATTTTCCTGCTGTAAATGTCAGTGGGGAGAAGAGCCTAAATGTCAGTTATCAGCTGAAATGATGATTGTCTTCAGCTTAGTGCTTGTAAAATTATTACTATGTACTCTTGAAAACATAAAAGTATAAGTATTTTATTATTAAACTGTAGGTAGTGTCCTCTGCTCAGCAAAGAGGTGCTTAGTTTTACCACTTTTAGCTGAGAAATTCCTCCAGAGCAGGAAGAAAGTTGACTAATCCTCCTTTGCTCTCCACTTGCTAACATCTACCAATAATTGCAGTGTTGAGGGCCCAAAACACAGTTTCCAAATGTTTGCTATAAATCAAGCCCTATGTTGAGGCCCACCAAAAAAAAAAAAAAAAAAAAAAAAAAAAAGTATTTTCAGTTTAATATGGTAACTGAAACCACAGAGATAAGTAACTAGCATATGGGAGGGAGATGCTATCAGTGAGGGGCTGTTGCGAGAAAGATCTCAGTGAAGCAGGTTTCTGCTGAGCTGATCTGGAAAGTGGGGAAAGCATTTGCTGGAGGGAAGGTGGCAGAGGGTAAGGAGTGTTCAATCCCCAGTGTAATCAGAGCTGCAGGAAACACACATGGACATGTGGGAAAACACAAGGACTCATGATGAAAGATGACCCTCTGTGTGTTGTCAACTCTCTTGTCCAAATTCTGGAAATCCATTTGAAAAATCAGTTGGGTTATTGGCTCTAACTTGAGATGTGAAGACTCACTCACATAATCCCCTAATAAATATTAGTGATATTGCCGTCCAAGGCTCTTCAAATGATCAAAACAACGCTTAAAGCTCAGATGTCTCAGAAATGCTTTCTGATTGGGGTCCTTGTCTGGTTTATTCCACAGTCTCTGCGTCTCTAATACAGTAGCTCTCAAGTATGTTAATACTTCAGTTAATTTGGGAAGCACCTTGACTAACTCTATGAATTTCAAGGCATCTCTTGGCCAGATTGGGGAATCTTTCTAGTACTGCTGGGGTCCTCTCTGAAAATAAGTAGTTTGAAAGCTGGTATCCAAGTATCGATAGATCGTTTGAAAGCTGCTATCAGAATAGGAAAGAAATAGTTAATAAATAGAAAAAAAATGCAGAAGTAGCTGGTGAAAATGTCCAGAACTTGGAACTTCTTTCTTATTGAGAGTGCTATCATTATGTAAATCATTCCAACCAAGGTGCCCTGTAACATTGCACACCACAAAGAACACAAGCACACGAGGTTTATTTGTTTTTGGAGCCTCAGAAATGTAAATATATCCTTTGCAGCATGGCTGCTTATTCTGTTACAGGCTAAGCCATGGCAAGGTTATGAATGAAGATGGAGGGCAGATTCAGCTCATTTGGGAAAGTGCTGGTTATAATTTAAGTTTGCTTTTTAAAAAAATTTTTTTTAAATCTTTCTCTTAGTTAATTTTAGACCCAAAGACAAATGTTTTAAGTTAGGAGCAAAAGCTGTTTGATTAAAATTTGGGAAGGCCGTGAAGAGACATTTTTACACTGCTATAAAATCAAATGGTCCAAGGGGGATTACTGAATAAAATATGAAGTGACTGATCATTTAAAATGTCAGGTCAGGAATATATTAAAGTATACAATGCATAATACTTTATTTCTTTCATCACATACATTGAATACCCATATTGTGCAAGAAGGAGGAAAGGTAGTCATTTGGTTCTGAACCAGTTTTTACAGCAAATATGTAAAATTCATAACTATGCAGGGGGAAAAAAAGCTCCTGCTTTTTGGTAGCGTGGAGGTGAGTGTAGTACAAAACTTATGCTGCTATGGAATATTGGTATGGATTCTAGTTGTCTGCCGAGGTTAAAATGAGGGAAAAGTTGCCTTTTGGAATTCCTAAGACAAAAGGATGGCACCAGGATCAATTTTTAGGCCTTGATGCTTTATTTATTAAATTATTCATATTCATTCATAAATCAAATATTCTTTAAGATCCTACATTTGTGTATGGTCTTTTAGGCTGTATGCTGGGGCTGGGGCTGGGCTGTGATGACAACATCCATGGCCCTTGTCGTCATGGAGTTTACAGTCTGGTGAGGGAGCACCCACCAGGTAAACACACCGCATGTGCTTTGAGGAAAAAGAATGGGGACGATGGTTAAAAATAGAAGAGGGGCCGAAACCGGTTTGGCTCAGTGGATAGAGTGTTGGCCTGCCGACTGAAAGGTCCCAAGTTCAATTCTAGTCAAGGGCATGTACCTTGGTTGAGGGCACATCCCCTGTGGTGGGGGTGCAAGAGGCAGCTGATTGATATTTCCCTCTCATTGATGTTTCTAACTCTCTATCCCTCTCTCTTCCTCTCTGTAAAAACTCAATAAAAATATATTTTTTTTAAAAAATAGAAGAGGGGTGGCAGTTTCTCACAAAACAGCACAGGCGCACTGTAAGATCTGGTGGTCATGCTCCTAGGCATTTACTTCACTGATTTGTAAAATTCTGTCTGCACAAAACCCTACACTTGCATGTTTATAGAACCTTAAGAACATTATGCTAAAGGAAAGAACCAGACACAGAAGACAAATTTCGCATGCTTCTACTTGTAGGAGGGACCTAGAGGAGGCACATGCATATAGACAGAAAGTAGAATACAGGTCACCAGGGGCTGCTGGAAAGGAGGGAACAGGAAATTATCATTCAAGGGGCACAGAGTTTCGGTTGAGGATGATAAAAAGTTCTGCAGATGGTAGTAGTAATGGTTGCACAACACTGCGAATGTGCTTAATGCCACTAAATTGTACATTTAAAGGGGGCTAAAATGGTAAGTTTTATGTTATGTTCATTTTATTATAATAATAATAATAATAATAATAATAATAATAATAATAGCTTGTGAAAAACAGGACTTCCAGAATGTAATCCTCCATAAAAGCAGAAAAACTTTGGAAAAAATATTGTCAAAATCATCTCTTTCAAAATTAACCAAAGTGGTCACAGACAACAGGAGGGTAGGGGAATACGTGGGGAAGTGTTTGGATTGGGGATGGGGGGATGAGGACAATTATGTGATACCATAATCAATAAAGAAATTTAAAAAGATTAACCAAAGATGTGCAACAATCTGAGGACTGTTTTTAAGGAAATCTGCAAAACTTTGGTAAAAACAGCAGGGGTTTTGGCATAGAAACTTGACCACTCTCATCTCCTTGATAGTTCTTGAGAATAATGGTTCCTGCACATGTTTGATCATGAGAATGATCTATTTGTTGAAAATGATGATTTTTAAGCCACTCTCTTTAGAAATTCTGATTATGAGGCACCAGTGAACCTGTGTAACAAAAGTCAAACTTGGGTTGACCTAAGAGGAATACAGGATTATGGTTGGGAGTGTGGAAAGGGGATGAGAGGAAGCAAAAGTTTCAGCAATTAAATGGGAATCCCTCTTCAGTCCATAGGCTGTGACTTATAAATCCATAAACTTGCAACTTGTTTCTTCTATTTGCTTTCTTCAGGATATCATTGCCAAGGGCCTCTGCCTGCGGTCCCAAACTCAGCAGGGATGGTCCCCACAACACTGCAGGTGGTAAAGGTAGGTGCAGCCCATCAGTCTGAGCAGAGCCTGGGGCAGGGCTGCTCTCATTGTAACTTCTAGGTTCTTGATTTGAGTCCATGTGGTTTCCATTTGCCGACGACAGACAAGGTGTCTTCAGAAGGAAAACGAATATATTCTACTCTGGGTCTGTCACTCTTAAAACAATGACAGTTACTTTAGGAAAACCTTTTCCTCCTCCAATTAGTCCCCAAATGTAACTGTGCCAGAGCATGGAGCTCTAGGTAATGTAATCTGAGCTTTCCTGGCTGCATCAGAGAACGGAAAAGAGAGACAAAGCTATACACCACCAGCTAGTAAATGATATTTGCTCATCTATAACTGCCTCCACCCTGTCTTAGTTAAATTAAGGTAATGCTGGCTGCCATAATAGGTAAACCTCCAAATTCCAGGGACTAAAACAAGAAAAATTTTCTTTTCTTTATTTAAAGGCAAATGTGGAGGTTTTGCAGGCAGATCTTCCACATGGGGATTTGAGGGTACAGACTTCATTCATCTGGGGGTCCCACCATCCCCTGGGGCCCCAGAGTTCTTTGTCTCTCGCTGGCAGGTGGAAGTGGCACGCATCTCTCTCACTCACACTCCAATGTGACAAGTAGTCACTGGCTCCACCTAGATGCCAAGGAGTTGAGAAATGGATCCCTCCAGGGGCAGCGCCTCCTGATACCAGCTACACACACTGCCCAGAAACAGCTGGCCATCCCGCTACACACTCTGATTCTGAGGAAGAGGCTTTTCTCATATGGCTTCCGCCTCTCAGGGTTACATCTTTGAAGGTTTAATAAGACTAAAGTCATTTCAAATGAGGATTGTGTAGCACTTTAGGAAACTTTCTGGAAATACTTTTTTTTTTGCTGTAGTATTTAAAGCTTGAAGAGGTATGTGTGTACTGGGAGAGGGGAGAGTGCGAAAGAGCTACCCTGCAGCCCTATGGGGTTTTCTCAAGTAATGGAGATGAAGGTTTATAGCCGCTGCCTGGGATGGTCATTGTTCTGCTGGCTTTCCTAATGAGATGGGACTTTAGGGGACTAGCATGTTTGAGATGGGTTTTATGCATTCCTCTGTGGTTTGTTGAGGCAAAAAAAATAAAAAAAAAAGGACACGACAGCTAACCATTTGTGCAGTTGTTAAAATCAGGAAAGACTTACTTCCTCCCCTTTGCGGTAATGAACATAAAATTGGAACACACTACATCGTTGAGAGACAAGACTGAGCTGGGGTCCAGGAAATTAAACAGCCCGGTCACATCATTCATTGTAAGCCGAGGTGACAGCGCATCTGATCTGAGTAGCGCCAAGTACAATCCTATTACATTTATATTCTATTTGTGCCCTTCAGAATTCTGATTAACCTGCTGATCACCTGAGCCCTGGGGAACTGAGAGTCCCACCGTCAGATGGGGGAAGGAGGAGAGTATTAGAAGGGAAGTCACACGAGCAGCAAAAGCAGTAATTTACCTCTCTATGACAAGAATGACTTCGTTTTCCTATCCTCTCCCGTTTTTATGGTGAAGTGTTGGTAGGAGGAAATGACATAAGTGTATATATTCATAATGGTGACTTCTTAATAGATTTCTTCCATATCACTTTTTCCACTCTTTTCAAATGGTCATTTTGACTTAAATGATAGCTACAGCAGGTCCTGAAATAATGTTTCAGTCAATGTCGTTTCCTTATAACGTTGATGAGATGCTGCAGGAACTTACTCTTGCTTGTGTGAATCAGCCTTCAGCAAAATTGGTTTTGTTATACATCGTTTCACTTAAAGGTTCAGACCCTATATCCACAGACTTAAGTGAGGACTTACTGTACTCGTTTCATTAAGAGGTGACCATGTATCAAGGCAGAATTATGTCATTTGGCCACAAGATAACTTCTCCTTGTGCTTCTTTTGTTTGTTTTCTTTCTTTAAAACAAAACAAAACAAAGAAAACCCCCCCACATTTTTATTGATTTCAGAGAAGAAGGGAAAAGGAGAGAGAGATAGAAACATCAATGATGAGAGAGAATCATTGATTGGTTACCTCCTGTATTCCAACCACTGAGGGCTGAGTCTACAACCCAGGCATGTGCCCTGATCAGGAACCTAACCATGACCTCCTGGTTCATAGGTCAATGCTCAACCACTGAGTCACACTGGCTGGGCTCCTTGTCCTTTTTTCAATTTTCATTGTTTGATGTTTGGATGATCAACTTGAATCTAATGAAAGGAGTTAAAGCATGAAGCCAAGGGTCAAATTATCAATACAGGCCAACTTTATAAATCTGCTAACCACGGGTGGAAAGTGGTCTGTTGCTGGTCTCTTTGTAGAAATGTTTCTATTCCTATAGATATGCAAATCAGATGAGCAGGGCTTATGTTTGATTCTCGAGGTTATCATAGCAAAAAGTTCTCAAATTTCTTCTCACAACTGCCTTCCAGACAATCAGTAATATTTGTTCTGCCTCCACAAAGGTGGCTTTCCTTTTGCATCCCATCGATTTCTTTCGATTTATTTATTTATTTGTTTGTGGCTTTTCCCTCCTATGGCCCCAGCACATGCTCATCTCTTATATTCAAAGAAGAATGAAGCAATAGCTAATAACGATAAAAGCCAAGTGTCGTAAAACTATAGTACAACAAACAGAAATTGATAAAACATTCAACTTTTCATTTACACTATTGCAAAAATAGATTCTAGCAAATTGTGTTCGCTTCCAAAGCTTCTCTCCAGCAGGAGCGATTTATGAAGAGCGCGGCTCAATGCAGGCTGTAGCGGAGCTGGGGCAGCACTCACTGGCCCACCCCGTCTCTTCTCTTGTGCATAGCGCTATCCCTGTGTCCCACGACGGCACCCCACTCAGACGAGCCTGGTTTTCCCTTGCAAAAGGGTACATGGGCCTCTTTTATTTTGCGAGTCCAGGAGATGTAGTATGTGCCCGGGAAGAGGTTTGGAGTCGTATGACAATACGTGTAAGATCTCCTTGGGAGAGTCCCTGACTACAGGTAACCAAGGGTCTGAAGCAGCTCCCTGGAGCTGTTTGCTCGGCATATACCCTTTTACAAGGATGACAGTGATAGGAGGATATGGACGAGAACCAAGCAAGATTCTAGGAGGCAGCATCAATATGGTTTGTCATGTCACTTCAAGAGCGTTTGTGTCCATTTCTAATATCCCTTTCCTTCCCTCCCTTTATCCCCACTCTTTATTTCTCTGTGGAGCCTTCTCCAAACCTCGAAAGACTTCTCAAAGCAAAAAGAGCTCGCCAGACCACCCCGGAAATTATGCCGTCACACAGGGGGACCTTAAGGCCTGACCACGTCCATGTGGCTTCTGTGTCCTGTTGCACTTGCCATCAACCCTTACTCCTCAGCACGGCCTTGCAGGCCTTTGGGGAATGTGACCTGCCGACCTTCCCAGACTCATGCTGTGCCTTTCCTCCCTTCTGCTCACTCTGTTCCAGTTCCGGTTCCAGTGGCTTCTTTTAATAACTTGAAAATGAAGCCTAAAAGTGGGGTCACCAGGAAACACTCACCTCTTCCACAGAGACCAGGGGAGACCCCAAATGGACGCTTCTCCCCAAAACAGAAACCTAGCTGTCATCCATCTGTGTGTGTGTGTGTGTGTGTGTGTGTGTGTGTGTGTGAGTGACTCCACACTGTCAGCTGAGTTGTTTCTCCCCTAAGGCTCCACACTTCCCACTCCCACCACATGCTGGGGGCCTCCCACACCCGCTGCCTGGTGGGCACTGACTGCGGCCCTCTGGCCCAGGCCTTCCCAGTGCACTCTGGTGAGGGCGGAAGAGAGCTCTCCAGGCTTCGGCATGTGTGCCTTCGCTGTCTGTTCCCAGGGCCACACCGGTTTGCCTTCCACGGCTCACCGAGGAAAGCTGCCCCTGTGAGATGATTGTGGACGAGGGAGGCCCGATGGGCCAGTGCCCTCACAGGATCGTGTCCTCATCCCTCCCCCTCCCACCCCTCCCTCCTACTGACACGCGTGGTGGCCGGCCCGGCCATGCAGCGAGGGAACAAGGTGACTTAGAACAAGCCCCACTCGCCCTGGGGTTCCCACTGTCACTGCTAGCGTGGGGGCTGTCACAACGAAGGGACCTTCGGATGCTGGCTTCAGTTTGTTTTCTGACTAATGTGCCTGCCTTGCTGTGGAAAGTGCATATATTTCTTTTAAACAACAGGGGGAAAAATAAAAATAAAAGCTCCCACTGGCCACCAGTACATCTAGAAATCCTGATAAACAGCCTGAGACGGAGGTCCTCACCCCGTTAAAGTGACAGATATGCCGGATGACCGCCAGCAGGCTCCGGAGAATTCCAGAAGCGACCCCTCAACCCCCCGACCCAGGAATACCAACCTCCCTCTCAGGGGTTGGGAACTTGGTTTTGCAATCTCTATTTTGAATTAGGGGAAACCATCTAATAAGTGGTTAAATGTGTTTGCCAGAAAATATCCGAGTCTAAGGCAACATTCCCAAATCCCCTGCAGAGACTGGACACAAGGGGACACTGGCAGCCGAGCCTGTTGTTAAGAAGGTGACCAGATGCCATCTGTTCCCGTGAGCGCGTTACTGTTCAAGCATCACTTCCGCTAGGAGGTGGCTGTGTGTGCTTTGCATGTGAACTTTCTCTTAAAAAAAAAAAATAATAATTTAGTTTTGCCATATCTTTTATAATCGAAGATGAGCATCTTAAAAAAAATTTCTTACTGTAGAAAGTATTACATATTAAGTTATTAGAGGGAGCGCCGAGGTGGGCAGCACAGTGACTTCAGTGGGCTTATGTGAAGAGGCCCCATGTCTGCCTAGGGGGTGGGCTGGGGTGAGGTGGGGAGAAGAGGAAGAGAAGGCAAAAGCATTGTTTTGGGTCTGTCCTTGGTTATGGCTCACGTGCAATCGGGATGTTGCTGGCCGGTCCTCCTAATCTTTTCCTGCCTTGCTTTAGCCATCTTTAAAATATAATAGCACCTCTTCTTTTCCTGTCATTGTGAAATTAAGGCCGATGAATGAATGTCTTACTCTTTTACGCACAACTTAAATATTTTTTTTTTTTAACCCATAGGGAAGTTGAAGGAATAGTACAAAGAGATTCACCTACTCTCACCTAGGTTTATCAGTTGTGAGCATTTTGCCAAGTTTGTTTATATGGAGTTTTATCTCAGTCTCTCTCTATTGATGCTTGTATAGACTTCTTTGCTGAACTAGTGGGAGTGAGTTACAGACAGGATGTCCCTCAATACTCCAGCCTCCTAAGAGTAAGAATGTTCTCTTACAGAACAATAATACTGTTATCACCCTTAAGAAATTCCATTCCATATTGCAGAAAAATTTTTTAAAACCCTAATATACAGATTATTTAATGCTTTATTCTTTGAAATCTGTCAGAGAAGATTTTCTGTGTCTCTCCCAATGGTTAGCAGTTCTATGTCCAAGGCATCTCCTGGTTCTAAGGCAGTTTAAAACATCGGGTGAAAGCTCTGGGCCCTTACCTTCAGAAAAATATCTATAAGGACAATGTGCAAGCCAACAAAGCACACACCTTGGATTCCTCTGAGTGATCGTGGACTCTAGGTTAAGTGTTGATAATCTTTTATCTAAAGTCTCCTCTTCTGTGTACGTACAATGTAAGACCACATATTCAGAAAGATAAGAATATAGTTTGTCTTCACTTTCCAGCATTATGTTCTGTGTTCATGAGGCTCCATTTCAAGAAACTCAAAATTTCAAGGAACTCAGATAAGGGTAGGTAGGAGGTCATATTATCCCCAATCTGTGAAACAGAAACAGAATCTCAAATACAGCTGTGAGCTGTACTGTGACAGACACCCAGGAGGTGGACTAGCTGGTTAGAAAATCTAGAAGAATACTTTCAGACTTGGGCTTCTCCGATTCTGGAAGAGCCATGGTCACCAACCACACTTGCTTTCCTGACAACTTTCTTTAAAAAACCAAATACATGTAACATCCTACCAGGGCCTAATGTGTTGAAGGGCCTAATACATAAAGGTGGACTATGTTGGCAGTTACTAACACTCTTGTTTTTATCCACAAAATCGCCCAATTTGGTTACAGTTTTAAGACCCGGAAGTGGAAGCAGGGATGTGGATACACACTAGCAAACTGGGATAACATTAAATGTCCTTATTGAAAAGGCTAGCTGGAACTGCCAAGGTCAAGTTGCACTGTGGGCTCTGTTTTGTCAACTGTGCACTCACAAGGGAAAAAAAAAAATCATTAGCTAACCATACTTCAACATATGTGAGCTTTCTGGTGTTCCTTCCTCTTCATAAACAGAGAAAATGAGAGACATTTCTAGCTCAGTTAGTAAAATGACCGAGCTGCCCAAAAGATGGTCATAAATGTGAAAATCCCACATGCAAAGGTTTAGCAAAAAAAAATAAATAAATAAAAAAATCAAAAAAATCTAATGCCTCTCTCTCCTCCATATTCTACCAAATGCCTCAATATTATGATGGGGGCATTGCCTTCCCCTGATCACCCTGTGGGCTCCCGGACTGTGAGAGGGGGCAGGCCAGGCTGAGAGACCCTCCCCCGCTCCAGTGCATGAAACCAGGCCTCTAGTTTTAAAATAAAATTGAAATGTGTACCATACCACCCTGGCTGAGTAGCTCAGTTGGTTGGAGCATTGTCCCAATAACATCAAGGTTGTAGGTTTGATCCAGGTCAGGGCACATATAAGAATCAACCAATGAATGCATGAGTAAGTGGAACAATAAATCTCTCTCTCTCTCTCTCTCTCTCTCTCTCTCTCTCTCTCTCTCTCTCTCACACACACACACACACAAAACAAATAAGTTTAAAAATCAAAAGAAATGTGTATTATTCAAAAAATGTTTTACACCCCTTCCACCAAAAGCTCCAGAATTTTTACTATGAATTAACTCTTAGTCACAATTTCATCTTACCTGACTCTTACTTTTCTGTTGCTCACATTCTAAAAGGAAATAAGTGATGTGTGTACAGCTTGTGGGTACAGCCCACTTGGGAGAGTAGGACATTTTATGTTCTAACACTGGGTGTAAGCCTGGTTTTTCCTCTTTGTTTGCATGCAGGACTATTCCCTCAGATAACCAGTTCCTTTCAAAAGCCACTTGATGTCAAGCACAGAGTGGTAAGTCCAACATTCCTCAATGACGGTTTACTTGTAGAGAGCTTAACCGATGGCGCACCATTGCTCCTAGGGGAAATGCAGGGTTAGGTTCCCATGAGCCTCTGCTCACAACATTGTCATTAACTGAGCAATACATAAATTTGTCTTATGTGTGTTTCTCTGCAAAGACACCTTATTGAATATATATTGTTGATTCACTGACATTGAACATACAGCCTCTAGGGCTATAATTCATGCCTAAGTGAAGATTATATAACACGTAATTTCTCTGTTAGGCACATCACAGCCTTCTTGTGCTGAGGACTCTAGACAGCACTGAGGGGGGGGGCAGTTTAAACAAATAAGTCAAGAACAAAAGGCATAAAAATTTAGAAAATAGGGCACTAAGTAGATCCCAACAAGAACACTTGTTTACAGCATGAGAGCTGCAGTAAGAGGGGAACATGTGTCCTGTTGTCCGACCTTGACTGAGAAGGTGTGTGTCAAGTGACTCAAATTGTTTGCCCCTCTGTGCATGTCCTTGAAAGACCTCAAAAGTGCTGGAGTATTGACTTGGGGTTACAAATACATTTTAATGAACAGGCAAACTCGCAAATATGAAATCCATGAATAGTAAGCATTGATGGTATTCATTTCCTCTGCCCATTTTCCTATTAGGATGGTTAGCTCTTCTTATTGATTTGTATAAGCTATTTGCATATTGGGATAGGACTCTTCTGCCAATCCTATTTTATAAATAATTTCCTCAATTTTGTCTTTCCCTTTTACTGTTAGTGTCTGTTATTATAATGGCTTTTGGCAACAGTACCAAAGAGCCTTTTGAATGGGGAGGACAATGCTGGAAAAGGTCTTTTGTTACATTTCTATGGTTGGGAAAGTGATGGCTAGTTTATTTTTATCTCTCTTCTTCACAGGCACACCAGATTCTGTTTCGTGATCTTTCTGCAGCACCTCCAAATTGTGAGTCCTACCCTAAACCATCACATTATAGCAATACCCTGCCTTTATTTTATTATTTTTAAAATATATTTTCATGTACATTTTGCCAAGATTCACCAATTCTTTTTTTAATTCTTTATTTAAAAAAAATGTTTTTTATTGATTTCAGAGAGGAAAGAAGAGGGAGAGATAGAAACATCAACGATGAAAGAGAATCATTGATGGGCTGCCTCCTGCACGCCCCACCCTAGGGATCAAGCCCATAACTTGGGCAATGTGTCCTAACCAGGAATCGAACTATGACCTCCTAGTTCGTAGGTCGATGCTCACCACTGAGCCACGCTGGCCAGACTGCCTTTATTTTAATTATGATCTTGTGATATTTTTTTCATCCCTTTCTGAGTCTGAGGCTCCTTATGGTCTTTTGCATTTCTGCTTCCTCCCTCCAGTCACCACGTGTGACTTCATTGTCCCTCTCCTGTCAATACGGACGGGAGGATGCAGCTCTGGAAAAGAGCCAACGTGAGAAGGTGGTGGTGGTGGCAGAGGTGGGGTGCGGTAAGAGTGTAGGGGAGGATTTGGAACAATTGATTTTAAAAGGTTCAAGAAAGCCAGTAAACTTCATTTGTTCATAATCTTGGAGCTTCTGTTTACCACAAGCACTTACCCCCTGGCTGTCTGTGTCTCCATGTTAGCTGTGAGGACGAAAAAACCAGCACCAGAGAACCTGGTGAAGGCCCGTCAACAAAGGACAGACTTCCTGCTGAGATGTGTAAGAATCTTTTTACCTCTCACCCAACAGAGGCTCCCCAGGGTAGTGCCAGTGGGGGTGCCTGTTGGTGTGGCAGTGCGGGTTTAGTGTGTGTGTGCTTAGCATTGGAGTAAGGGTAATCCCTTATTTATATTCAAGTGACAAAGGCATGTAGACTGTTCTGAGAAGCTGTCTGCCTTAAAGCACTCTGAACATTTTTCGTCTCCAGCTCTCCAGTGGGAAGCAGACTGCAAAGGGGATTGCAGTTTCTCTTGTACTGTCCAGATTTCCCCTTGGCATTGGCTGGGTCCTGCCTCTTGCGAACAAGGCATTACGTTCTCAGACTGTCCTTCCCTCTGGGGTCCCACATGGGTGCCTTGCATCTGGGGCACACTCTTTTCATGTGGCTGTTCTGGCACCCAGCAACTACTGTCCCCATGCCTTCTGACATGGCCTTCCAGAGCAGAGGTTATGCTCATATGCATGCATACAAGTCCTTTGGTTGATCTCTTATACCTTCACCTCCCACCTTCCAAAATAGGTTGGATAGTCTATTTGATACTTCTATGTCTCTGGATCTGTTTTTGATCATCAGTTTATGTTGTTCATTTTATTCCACAAATGAGTGAGATCATGAGATTTATCTTTCTCTGACTGGCTTATTTCACTTAGTATAATGTTCTCCAGTTCCATCCATCCTGTTGCAAATGGTAAGAGTTCCTTCTTTTTCACAGCAGTGCAGTATTCTATTGTGTAGATGTAACACAATTTTCTAATCCAGTCATCAGCTGATGGGCACTTAGGCTGTTTCCAAATCTTAGCTATTGTAAATTGTGCTGCTAGGAACATAGGGGTGCCTATATCCTTTCTGATTGGTGTTTCTGGTTCTTGGGATATAGTCCCAGAAGTGGGTTTACTGAGTCAAATGTAGTAATTTTTTTTTTTTTAGAAAACGCCATACTGTTTTCCATCGTGGCTGCACCAATCTGCATTCCCATAAGCAGTGCAAAAGGGTTCCTTTTCTCTGCATCCTCACCAGCACTTGTTGTTTGTGATTGGTTGATGATAGCCATTCTGACAGGTGTGAGATGGTACCTCACTCTCATTTTGATTTGCATCTCTCAGATGATTAGTGACTTTGAGCATGTTTTCATATGTCTCTTGGCCTTCTGTATGTCTTCTTTTAAAAAGGGTGTATTTAGGTCCTATGCCCATTTTTTTTTATTGGATTGTTTATTTTCCTTTTGTTAAGTTGTATGCATTCCCTATACATTTTTGAGATTAAACCGTTATTGGAGATAACATTGGCAAATACTAATATGTTCTCCGATACAGAGAAGAAGGGAGAGGGATGAATTAGAAACATCAATAAAAGAGAAACATTGATCAGCTGCCTCCTGCACACCCCCTACTGGGGAAGTGCCTGCAACCAAGGTACATGCCCTTGACTGGAATTGAACCTGGGACCCTTCAGTCCAAAGGCCGACACTCTGTCCACCAAGCCAAACTGGTTAGGGGTCAATGGGCTTTCTTGTTGTTTTGTTGATGGCTTCTTTTGCTGTGCAAAAGCTTTTTATTTTGATGTGGTCCTATTTGTTTATTTCTCCTTAGTTTCCATTGCTCTATGAGCTGTATCAGTAAAGATATTGCTACGACAAATTGTCTGCTATTTTGCTGCCTATGGATTCTTCTAGGATTTTTATCCAGTAATTTTTAACAGTATGTTAAAAATGGGACTTTTCTTATGTCTTAGAGTTCTGGCAAGTAACCTACTGACTTCACCTCATTTAATATAAACCTTACAACTGCTTTTGCTATCCTGTTGCTTTTGGCTATTAAGATTTCTCTAAATTAACTTAAAACAACAACAATTCAGCCTTATTCTAAGTAATTAAGCAGGATGGGGCAAAAGTAGATCAATACTTGTTCGTATGGAAAATAATACAATAATTAATAAGTAATACTATAAGAATAAACTGTGTTTTGCATACTCATAACTGTAAACCTAGTTTTTGTTCCATCCTGTAGTCGCAATACTCTGGGTTTGGTATGCTAGTTATGTGAATTAGAAAAAAAGAAAACCTAACCATTAAAATAAAAGTGTTATTCAAGAACCACCAGTTCTATAGAGATATCACTCTGCAAAGTGCTGTCTATGGGCATCACTTGCTCATCTGATGAATGTAGCTAATGGGATGGGGTGGGTGGCCCTCCTCGGTTCCCAGGCCTATGGGATGGTGGTCTTCCAGATAGAATACATTTTTCTTGATTTTTCTGCGGTTGGGCCTGGTAACTTTCCTCTGGAGCATTTCAAGCATGGGAAGGCAGCAAGGTGGCGGGCTGTGGAGGGAGGTACTTGGGGGCATTGAACGCTGGGCAGTCCACTGACCATTACAGTGTGTGGCAGCCAGCCCTCCCTCTGCTGTGGCGTTGGTACATGCCTCGAGGAAGGGTAGATGATTTCCTGAAAGTATAGTTACTGCTCGCTGGGCCCCTGGGAGTTGCTTGGGAGAATCATTAACTATTGTTAAATAAATAAATCCCTCCTGCTGCATGGAGTTGGCCAAGCAATGCCACTGCCAGCGCCCGCAGCTGTTCTGGGCAACAGTTGCCTTTCTCTTTGAGTTGCTTCCCTGACCCCCTCCCCTAAAGCAAATTCTTTTAATCACAGTACCTCTTTAAAATCCACAATTCCTGACAAATTAGTGACATTACATCCTGCTCTTGTTTTTGTGGTGCAGTAGCAAACTAAAAGTACACACACACACACACACACACAATTCATATGAGGGACTTCTTCGGGAAACATTGGGCTTTTAGTTTTTTCCCCAAAAATTTTATTGATTTTTTTTTTTTTTAAGAGAGAGGAAGGGAGAGGGAGAGAGAAACCCTGATCAGCGGCTCCTGTACACCGTGCACTAGAGATTAGGGATTGAGCCCCAAACCCAGGATATGTGCCCCAACTGGAAATCCAACCAGCAACCCCTCCCTGCATGGAGTGACATCTAACCAATTGAGCCCCACTGGCCAGTGGCGGCCTACAGTTCTGGCCAAAAAATAAATCAGGATTTTTTACTTACTACATAAGGAAAATTATGTTTTTTAAATAGATGCTGTGTTTTGGGGGAGGAAAACAACTTTGAGATATAAAAATGCACACATTCTTGCATCAGCCACAAACAGGGATTGGATGACATTTTCAACCATCATTAACAACATTCTCATTTTAAAGAGTATTTGCTTGGTGTCTAATGCCCTTGATAGGCAAGTTCTAAATATTTACAGTTCTGGGCCCAATCTTCAAGAAGTCCATGATGTAAAAGCGAAAGCAGAGAAACTCATCCCATTAGGCAGTGTCCACACCAAAGGACGGAGGGAATACAGGCAAGAATCCTGCCGCTGAAGGATGGTTCAGGGGCGGGAGGGAGCGGTGGGTGGTTGGGTTAGTGGTTCTAGGATGTCTTGGCTGGTTTTCTTTCCTCTTTTCCTCTTATTGACCTGGCCTCACTGACAGAGACTGGGCAGATGAATTGGGAAGGTTAAAGGAGCTGGAAGAAAGAGCGGGAACAACCCCTATCCCACTCCTGAATGACAACGTCTGGCCATTGCATTCCCAATTCTGTGCAAAAAAGTAACCTTTGCGGTTGGGCGCGTGCTGACAACCCGGGCCATTTCTCAACAGCCCGGGCAACCGCGAAATTCGTCCAGCAAGCCTGATTCGTCCGAGGATTCCGATGCTGATCAATACTACGTGTACAGCCTGGGGGGACCCTTGTGGTAATTTCGCTGAGTCGGAAACCAAAGCCACAGAGCTGCACGACCAGGACAAACCCTCATGACAGACCTGGAGGTATGAGCCGGCCTTGGACTACCTGGACCTTGGCGGGCTGCCTTCCTCGCATCCTTCCCCGGGCTTCAAACTCCCCCATCCCTCACTTACCCCTTCTCTTTATTGGAAGAGGGGACGGATGTTATCGTGACCATTATTATTAAAATTTCCTTTACTGTAAATGTTGGCACCCCACCTCTCTGCAGGAATCACAGCAATGGTGTCAGGGCCCCTACACAATGGACCACGGCTTCTGGGAGCCCATCCTTCCATGGGGCGCCCGGCGGGCACAGGGGCGTGGGAAGGCGCGTTTGCATCCAGAGCGGAGGCCACATTGTCCTCCAGGCGAGGCGCCTCCGCATGCCAACTGGCTTCAGCCCGTCGGGCAGGCGGGGCGACCCGAGTGCAGGCGGGAGCGCGAGCCGGGGCTTCGGGTCCGGGAGAGTAGAGATAACCACCCTCTCCCTCCCTTCCCCCCTTCTCCGGTCTCTCTATAGGGGTCCTGCTCCCCCAAAGCCCAGCCCACGGCCCGCCCCATCCACGGCTCCGCCCCTCGCCTGGGTCTTCCTCTCCGCCCTCCTCCCCTTGGTTCGCCTCTCCGCTTCCCAGGAGGTCCTCCCGCTTCTCTTCCCTCCACGATGCTCCTCCTCCCTCCACAGCCTTTCTTCCCATATGAGCCCCCCAAGATTAAGGTGGCCAAAAGCGGGACGTCTGGTCGCCTTAACCGAGATCCGATCCGCCCCCACCCGGTGGAGGTGGGGTGGGGAGGTGTGGGGGGTGCTGGCTCGGAGACTCAGGGACCCCCGTTGCTGCTGTCCGGGCAGCTCGGCCCCAGATGCTGCTGCCCCGGGAGGAAAGGCGGGATCACGTGTGACCAGGAAGGTAGCCCCCTCCTGCCCCATCCGCTCTCTGACCCCGCTTCACGGTCACCAAGACCGTCCTGTCCTTCTCACTAGGACTGATGTTGAATAGAAACGATAATTAAAGTCACACCAGCTCCTCTCCCTCCCCCCCCCCCCCCAACAAAACAAAACAACAACAGCAAAACCTGCTAGTGGTTACTTTTGTTCTTTAGCCCAGGTTAGGCAAAATGCATTCCTGGCCAGCCCTCTGACCTCGTTCCCTCCCGGGTCCCTTCGTCCTATGGTTTCCATTAAGCTCGCCAAACCCTGCATTGAAAATGCAGCCCCTGGAACCACTCAGAACCTCCAGGATTGGTGCCCCGGCAGCGGGGTCAGAGGCTCTCAGGCCTCTGTGCCAGTCCTGTCCCCAGTGATCCTGGTCTTACCTGTAATTGGTATGCTGCACTACTTCGAGAAAATGAGTTCTCCGTGTTAATGGTTATTATTCATTCAGTATTTTTTAATTGTATGCAAGACATCGCTTATTAGAATTCTGTTTAAATTCTAAAAACCTATGTTAACATCTTTTGCAGATGATTTTACAAAATAACCTGGCCACAGAGATTCATTTTGAGCAGTAACATTTGTATGGCTGGGTCAACCCCGCTGTCCCCATTTACTTATACCCCCACCCACCCAAAGACACCCCCCCCCCCAAAAAAAAAAAAAAACGTTAGCTTGTGGGAAAATATTCCTTTCCACTTGGGTTGGGGCCTG